GATTTGATGAGTATACATGTATATGAGAGGATTTGGGGTGGGGGGGGTCGGAATGCTCATCGATGTTCCGGCGGAAAAAAGCAGAACTGGGCGATGCTTTCATCGAATGGTTGGTGTCGGCATCATCGAAAACGGGAGGTCGCTGCAGGATGTCTGACTTTGGCCTGCTGGGTGCAGGAGAACTCCCAAAAATACACACCCAGCTGATCGCTGGAAGTGGCCAACGCGGATCCTGGCCTTACAGTGTGGCTGGTCTTACTGCGACAACCAATTCTTAAGGGCGAAGGGGGCAGGGGGCGTTGTTTTTCGTGATGACCATATAGATAATTACCAGGATGCCGCAGGGCAACATGTTCATGCACCAACGGGGAGGCTTGGAAGACCAGCTGTTGCTTTTTTCAGACGCTGCGCGTGACCAGGAAGCAAGTGTTGGCTGGACCGGTTGGACCATGTCGGATGGTCATCTTAAACCTCCAGCAGACTGTTCGTTCTGGGGTCTTCAGAAGCCCAGACCCGACCGGGACGGACTGCCAGGACGGACTGCCGAGAAGCCGGAAACCGAGGTCCCCGGGGTGGTTGGATATAGCAGGGGTTCAGTTGATCGGCATCTAGTGGGTGGTGTCAACCCACTTGAAGATTGGATCAAAAAAAACCTACTAGCAATGGCCTCCAACCTACAAGCAATGGCCTCCAACCCAAATAGTGATAATCATCCCAAATGAAGGGTTGAAAATACTAAATACATGCACATATACATATACCACCCAGGCATATGATCGTCCCAGTCCCCGGTCATGTCTGGGTTGGGAACCCCAGATTGCAAGCGACGGGGTTTGCCGATGCCGACATGCTTCCCATGAAAGCTCCAAACAGTGCTAGACATCTTAGGGAGGACCATAATAGCATCTGAATCTACCACAACCAGCACCCTCCAACAGGTGTTTTGTGATGACAACAGCTGTCAGAACCATAGCATCTGAAGCATCCACACCTGCGACTCCCGGCGGCTGCTGAGGACGCCAGGGCACCTGGGAATGGCGGGGGAAGGCACCCAGAAAGGGACCGCCGTTCCTGAAGAAATGGCCGTCCCGTCGGTTCTGATTTTTTCTCGGTGCAAGTCTAGAAGGAGCAAAAACATTCACATGGGCGTCTTGTTGGTGGAAAGAAGGACTACAATATATAGTCAACCAATGGAATGAACAAACACTTCGGACATGTCATTTTGAAGATATCTTTTTGAACGGGTGGCTCAAAAGGGTTAAATTCTATGACAAGTCCGAGGTGTCCTTGTCATGTCCAGAAGTCCAGGGTCCGAGTTTGAGGACATGTACAAATCAACAAACCACAACAACAGCAACAACAACAACAACAACGACAACAGCAGAAGCACGTCGTGCACCAGTTCGTGGTTTCTCCAGTTCGTGTTGCTCGGGACTCAGTCACGGTGCACGAACCCAGCACGGACACGAACCCAGCACGGTGCGCGCGCCGGGAGGGTCTCCCCCCCACGGACGTCCGGTTCCACCCGGGACCCACGGTCGGGGTGGTGCATGGACGGGGCTGACACCCTAAGTCGGGGGTCGTCTTGGTATAAAACGGTTCTCTCACTAGCCACTTGGGCATTGAAGGATACTCGAGCTGGGGATTTGGAATTTGTAGACCGTTGATGTCCCAGCACGCGATGCACATCCATATATACAAGCGTATGCAATTTCCGGGGAACAAACATGGTGGGTCACGCCAATTCCGATTCCCCATGTTGAAAAGATACAAAACAAAACACTCACTGGACAGACATCATTGATAGTAGATCCCTCGCGCAGGGTTCCGCTAACCTTCCCAGAGAGTCCCATGACTCATCTTACCCTGAGTGATGGAGTATGACTGTCAAGGTGATGGCAAAATGAGAATTAGTTCATGCAAATCCTCCCCGCTTCTTCCCGTTTCTGGCGTGCCACGCCAAACCACACGCGTTCCGCTGTGACTTCAGGCGCCTCCCGCGTCGCTCCATGCCGCGCGAGGGCCGGGAAGCCGTAGACGGCTGCCGGCTGCAGGGCGCTGAGCAGGTGAAGGGTGAGGACCTAAGACGGGCCGGCTGAGCAGGGCCCCGTGACGTGCTTAAGTCTCACCCTCTTCCAGCAGAGGTTGAAGAACCCTAGTTCGACTATCCTATAGGTACCGTTGGTAGGGTCCTAGTTCAGGTCACTTAACCTCTGTTGGTTCAGGCAGGTCCGGGAAGACCGTGGCAAGATCTGCTACAAACAAAAGCTGAGGGGGAATGTAGAATTTACCCAGTGTGTGGGGCAAACCGCCTTTTAAAAAATATGTTGTTCTTGTTCTTCTTCTTCTTCTTCTTCTTCTTCTTCTTCTTCTTCTTCTTCTTCTTCTTCTTCTTCTTCTTCTTGATCGTTGCCTGGGCAGGGTCTCCCCCAATTTCTTTAATTTTGCCTCATGTGCCCTACCTCTACCTCCCCTCAGCTTGATGCCATCCCCAGGTCCCACGAGTCCGAGAAGTCCCAGAAGACGACCGGAGCCGGGACACGTTCTGACTGGCCACGCAGCTCCCCGGCGGCAGCGGCCGCGCCGCGGCCTCCGTTGGTGGCGACCGGCGGTCGCCCCGTGGGCGAGCTTCGAGTTCGCACGCTTCGGCTTGGTGTTTCGGGCGGAAGGGGTCCTTGACATCGGTCGAAAAGGGCGGAAAAAGGAGGTCGGACCAGGAGTCACGTTCGACGGGGTGTTGTTGAGTCCCTAAGTGAATGGATAACGGGCACCCCTAACCTCCATGGATAGCACCCCTTTGTGACTGCTGGGAGAAGAACGAAGTGAATTCTCGACTTGAGAATGGATGAACACAAATCAGGTGTCCTGACCGACCTGACGCCAAATGGTGTCCCTTTTGGGGGGTCCCAAGAGATGTCGCGGCGATTTCGGCGATCGTGAGCAGCTTTGACCAAGCTTCAATGGTGGCAAACAGTGCAGTAGTTGTTCAACAACTCTCACAACGCCACTCGATCCATGAGTATCCTCAAACAAACATATTTGGAGTTGGCCGTCCCTGTTTCTTTTTGTGCTTTGAAGCTCCTTCTCCAAAGTGTTCGTTGGCAAAGAATGGTATTACCCCATATGAATCCGGGCCCTCAAATACGTAGGATTTGAGGGGTCCCCGACCCCTGCCAAGGTGTCGGGTCCGAACCCTGTCATGGAGGGCCCAGATTCTTAGGGTAGTACAGGGTCGGCCTTTGAGGAACTGATCCATTTCGACATACCTCCAAAAATCTCCGACAGCTCCAGTATACGGAGGAAGTTTTGTCGGATTATGGAGCTCAGCAACTGCCAATCTGTTGGCGAACTTTGCGAACTCCAGGCAGAACTACCTGGACCCGACTTCAAGTACCTTAGAAAATGGGATATGACCCCGTAAATAAATAGTACTTGTACCCATTTTCAGAGGTACGAACTGAGACTCCAGGTATATCCTCAGGATTGCCCAGGAAGGCTTCATCTTCATCTGTCTTCACAGCTCGTTCCCCAACCTCAGGGCCCCCTCTGGCCAACGCAACATGGATCGCCCAGGAACTGCTGTGATCACGTCATCCTGCAAGGAGCCTGGAAACTGCCGTGGACGGCGCGAACATCCACGTGGCAATGATCGTTGGTTGGGGTTCCACGCGTGTGATTTCGCGTTCCTTTTGGGCCCAAGAATGCTAGGCATCTCTGCAAATCCTCTCTCTCTCCCCTCGCATTGAATCTCCAAACATCACAAAGGATGATCTGTTCTGTCATTCGATCTGGCATGTAAGCCTCGATCAACCTTCCATGTGACTTGCGTTTAGATCAAAGTGGTAAACTCACCTAAAACTTACTTCCCTAAGGATCCGGACCCTCAAAAACAAGGGTTTTGAAGGTACAAACCCCTGTGAACAGCAGGATTCGACCCCTTCAAAGGTGTCGGGTCCAAGGATCCTTAATTAGGGTTCTTTATTCCTACTGGTCCCATCAGAGTTTCATGCCCTGCCACTCTGCTCGCTCTGCCACTCCGCCCGGCCTGCCACTCCGGACGCCACCGCGGGCGTCGTCGCGGCCGTGGCGGCGCAGGCGAAGGAGAGCAGCGGCGGCGCTTCCAGGCGCAGGCTGCGGGCGCCTTGGCGCATCCGAGGATCGGTGTGGATGGTCTTGACCACGATCCATGGAGGCCCAGCGGAACTTGGAGGGGATGGATGGCACACCCCCTCGCCCTGCCTGTCACATACACTCACTGCAAAAAAAACACATTCCTTTTGAACCTGCTGCTTGCATGTATTTACCTTGTTCCCGTGCTTTTCGACGTGTGCACGGCACCTGAAACGACCTGGGTGCCAATTCCCAGCAGCGCTTCTATCTTGCTTCCGTCGCGACGCTCGCTCGCTCCCTCGCTTCCTCGCTCGGTCCTCGCTCGCTCCCCCTGCGACCCCTCCGCCCCGACCCAGCTCGGGGACCTTCGACCGCTGGCATGGCAAAGAACACCTCAGCACGTCGGACGTTCCGGCGCCCTTCGACCCACCTGGGACGTTCCCGTGGACCCAAACGGGGGACAGATGGACCGGACTGGCTGGTAACGGACTGTTGGCTTCACCAAATCCAAGCAGATGCAACGATGACAAGCAGTGCACATGTTCGAAAGCAAAAAGAGAAACCAAAGAACCGTGGTCCAGCACCACGTTAGGGTGTCCAGACAAATAGCCGATGTCAAGGGGGTGTCCATTCACCGCCCCGACTGGGGGTCCAGGGTGGTGCGTTGAGACATTACGTGTTCAATCTGTCTCCGAAACCAATTGAGGGGGGCGAGGTGAGACACTGACTGCTGGGCAACCCGCATCGGGGAGCTCATCGGACTCACCATTTGATCCACTCCTCCCTGCCAGCAACATCTGCGTAGTATACCCTATAGCATGGAATGCAACACCTTTCTGTGATTCCTACAAGGTGCAAATTCCCTCCTTCCAACCAAAACAACAACATCAGAATTGATCCAGAATCCTCGCAAGAGGCCAAAAAGCACCAAGAATGGCCCACGTTGATCCAGCGAATTCCGTGTCGTGGGCGAAAGGCACAGATTCCAGTGGCCCTTCTCGACTGGAAAGCCCTTTGCTTCGGGTCCGGTTCCGGCGCCGGACCCCCGCGAGGCCGTTTCCCACCCATCGTGTTTCATGTCCAGGCAGAAGGGGACCGAAGAATTTCGCCCGGAACGTCACCAGTCCAGCAGTCACAAGACGGGGTGCTATCCATGGAGGTTAAGGGTGCCCATTATCCACTCACTTAGGGACTCAACAACACCCCTTTGTGACTCCTGGGTGAAACATATTGAATAAAATCCCCAGAAGTCCAGTTCGACGATTTGTCGGCACCACCCGGAGAACAAGGAAGTTCCAGAACTCGGATCACCGTTCATCAGACCGTTTTAAAAATGGTCGACTGGACTCCCAGGGAAATACTATACCCTAAGGATCCGGACCCTCAAAAACAAGGGTTTTGAGGGTACAAACCCCTGTAGAGGATTCGACCCCTTCTATGGAGGGACCAAGGATCCTCAGGGTGATCCACCACACACATCTGTCCTACGGACGGTCTGTCGTACGCGCCTCGTCTAGGCCCAGTCTGGGGCCCTTCCACGAACCGTCGGGGGTACCGCTGTTGGTCATGAATCCGCGCGGAACCGCGACCACGACCACGACCGTCGCGCAACTCCGTCCACTCGTCGTCCCAGGCACGGCCACCTCGAAGCTGGCGCCGGGCACGTGGACGTCGGAGGTCACCCAGAGCCGTCGGAAGGGCACAGTACGATCGAAGCTGCCGATGTTTCCTGCCCATGGCGAGAGGTGAGACGAGACCGGGTGTGGCTTCGTGTGTGGAGTTGTCTTGAGGTGGAAGACCCTTTGGGGCTAAAGATCTCGTATATAACCCAGACACGACCTGTCCATAGGATGCCAGGATGGACTGCCACCCCAGAGGTCGACCCCCCTGGTCACCACCACCCCGGTCCGGTCGGCCGCTTCGAGAGGCAGTCCGTCCTGGCAGCCCCAGACAGGTCGTGTCTGGCTAAAGAGTCTATGCGGTTGGTTCTTGCGTGGCCTGATTGGGGAGCCAAGACCTGGTTCGGTCCAGATGTGCTGGGATGGGGAGCCAAGACCTGGGGGAGGTGAGAGCGTTTAGAGGAATTGGGCATCACCACGTCCCTGTCTCTCACAAGGTGAGTGTCCCAAATGAAGAACCATCCGTCATGAAGAACAGGCTCCGTCACTGCTCCTGTCGCAGGCTCCGGACTTCGATGCGACGACTTCAGAACGAACCATCCGTCATCGAGAACAGGCTCCGTCAGCAACGGTCCAAACCATCAGCCATCAGTCGCTCGGGCAGTGGGTCTGAACCGGTGCTCTCCGACCCGTGCGACGCAGTGCGACGGCGAAGTGAGGGGCTGTTTCCGACACCAGCACAACCCGACCAAAACATCACCATGGAAGTGGAGTTCACCTCCACCTGCTTCGGTAAAAGGAAAGTAATAGGAAAAATCGTCCAATTTCAGGGACACAAAGCTTCATCCACCTCCAGTCTTTGTGACTCAAAGCGTACCTGGAATTGATTGCAATGCCTTTGCAGCCTTTGTCTTTGCGTTGACTCCGTCCTCGCCGACAAGTCTCTACTCCGACAAGTCTCTGCCGTGTTTTTCATCCAGCGCCTCCAACAGAAAGCTTTCAAGTACGTTCCCTGAAAGAGCTTCACCACTTGAAATCCGTCATCCGTCACCACCAAGGGGGTGCCTATTGGAGGAAAGCTTCGAAGTATTTTCCCACCGGTCTTTGGTGCATATGGATTTCATGGTCTTTCTGGGCCATGCGGCCAGGCCATCCATGATTGGCCCGAAAAAAGGGAGTTCCCAACTGTGTAACAGAACTGATGGGGGTAACTGAGTTACGGTAACTGTTTCAAAATCCATCTCCAGTTTGCACTTGCCTACTTGCCCAATCTATACTCTTGATTAATATTGATGAATAAACCCCCCATATGAAGAGGACTTCCAGTTCAAATGGACGGATTTATTAATCAAGAGTCTACATTATATATATATATATATTTACCAGCAGTTCCAAGGAGGTGGCTACTGGAGATTAGGGGTGTCAATTATCCTAAACGCCATCCTTTTGTGACTCCTGGTATAGGTTTTTAGTTAGTGTATTTCTCCCAGGGAAACGGGCCATCATCATCCGCATCCCCGCCATCTCCTTGTGCCGCCAAAAGCTTCCCAGAGGCCGACCAAAGCTCCAGCCTGCCGGTGGAGGAAGAGGCACTGGAGCATCGACGGCAACGACTTCTTGACAAGGGTATCCAAGAGGTAAAAGGGCATCGCTACGCAACCAATTCCAAGCACCAGTCCACCACGCACCCAAGAAAGACACAGTCGGATGGGCGACAGAGGGTTGAGCAGAAGGGAAAGGACTTCCCAAAGCGAGGCCTTCTTGCCAAACCTTGTTGGCCTCCTGACTTCCATTCCATGTATTGGCCCTCTGCCGTCCACGGTTTCTTATCAGCTATTTGTTCACTTCCTTTTTGGGCTCTTGAAAGTTCCTGTCCAACCACAATAGACACACTTCGCAGAGCACAGCCGCACCCAGGGCTCTTCGTACCGCAACAAGATCCAATCTCCTTTTGGCCCGCAATCGCCGTGCCCTTGAGGCTGGAGGCGGGGAGCAAATGCGCTGCAATTGCACCATCACCGTAATCAAACATAAGCAAGCATGAGGACGCAGCAGGGAAGACTTCGGGAAGGGACAAATAAGATGATGATTGGAGCCTGAGTGGGCGGATATGCATGCCAGTGAGATTCAGTGATGGAGTGTGCACCCAGCGCCTGCCAGGCCTAAACACAACTAGCAAAGTAGACAGGTGTGGATGGCCATCTGCCGTGTCTTGCCCTGAATATTATGGAGACAATGCCTGGCGATACAATGGAAATGAAAAACGACTGCCACTGGGCTCTTCTGGCACCCTATATTTACGGTTTTCATCTGCATTCAGCAGGCGTTTCACGCCTGCCATGGATGAGTGCATATTTAAAATATTTTGCAACTGCCCTGATGTGACCCGCCGTTTGCTGCGGGCGCCCGCTGCCCTGGGCTCGTCCAATCAAGGTTTGCGTATGCATCAGGACCAACCGAGTTCAGTTGCAGGTTTGCGGTTGAACTATGAAAGTGAAAGGGCCAAAAACCCATAGGCTAACAAACCTTGAGAGGCTTTCGGGCAAAGACTAGAAGAAAAGGAAGGGTGGGATCAAGGTGCGGCGTGGGAGGAGATGAGTGTAAAGGTGTGCGGGACAAATGAGCCAGCGATGAAGCCCTGTAAGACCAAACACTCCAACTGTGATAATGTAGACTCTTGATTCATAAACCCACCCAACTGAATTGAAAGTCCTCTTCAATGGGGGGGCTGATTAATCAAAAGTCTACATTACCGTAGAATCCGTAGAAACACCAATGCCAAGTGGTAAAGTGAAAGAGGGGTCACCACCTCATGGTCAGCGCAGGCCTCCAAGGCTCGACGGCTTCCTCTTCCGGAGGAGCCCAGCGCACGGCCACGGAGACATCCATGGCCACGCTCTCCACATCGTCTGGGAGGATGAAGAGAGGGATGGCCGAAGGTTGGAGGTGGCACGCCGCGCTGTCTTTTCAAACCCCCTAACTGAAAAAAAGCGAAGGTTGAACAGCGTAATCCCGAGTACCGATTGAAAAACGGACCCCAGCTTTAAAAAAAATCATGTCGGAACCCCCTAATTTCGGCTTATATTTGGTTTCAAGTTGCCGCCCTTTAAAGCCGCTACTAAACTACCAACATGGCCGATTTTTGGGGTAGATGTTTTATTAGGTGCCAAAAACCACCATAACTGCCCACCTCTGTCCACCCTGTCTATCCTTCCCCCAATGGCACGTACTCACGCAAACGCACTTGCCACCGAGGTCACGCAAAACCGCATGGCACAGCGACATCACCTTTCGAAAGCTTTAGTTGCTAGTCTAGTGAAGAATTCTATAATAATAAGAGTTTACTAAAGGATGTTATATAAAGAGTTCCTGGGTGACTCTTCCCAGGTGACCCTATTTTGGACAACCCCGATTTCAGGGATCCCCTATTTAACAATATGCACCCGAGGTTTTCTTAATAGGGGGGGGGCCCGTTTTTTCTAATATGTGGAAGGGATTAATGATATCGGAAACATTCGGAAACCATAGAGAACAATTTATCCGAATCAGAAAGGGAGGTCACTGCAGCAGGGGGACGGTGGTCCGAAAGAAGAGTTTCTCGTGCAGAGTTCACCCAGTGAGGCAGCGGCTTGATCAACCCGAAGTGTCCAAGAAAAGCTTCCACCGTTGGGGCAGCGACCGGAAAAAGATTGGGCCTCCCTCCGATCCAACAAGCCGGCCCACGCGCTGGGCTTCAAAGACTCACAAAGACCCTCCACAGCCCAGCCACCGCCCCGGCGAAAGGCCCTCGGCACCATCCATCCATCCATCCATCCATCCATCCACCCCTCTCCGCGCCCGTCGCATCGCTATCTCCGCGCCTTGAAAGTGCAGCACCGTTGCAGTGCCGTTGCCCTCCACGCGGCTGCGCGTGGGCGCCAGGCCCAGCGCGCGGACGCTCGCGGCGTCAAAGGGGGAGGGGAACGTGAAACCTGCCGCGGTTGCAGCTTCGCGCGGACCGGCGGCCGTTTGCGGTGGGAGCGGGCGCCGTTTCCGGTGCAGAAGAAGTGAAGGGATGGTGGTGATGGTCTCCGAGTGAAGGGAGGTCTCCGAAAAAAAGGGGGATGATGGTGATGGTCTTGTGATCACCAGAAATCAGTCAGAAATCGATGGTAGATGGGTGTGTAATCTCATGGACACCTGGATCTTCACAACCGAACTTGATTCCCCGCGTTGCGACTCGGTCACTTGCGGCTCTGTAAGTTCGGTCGGATGGGGCTTCAAAGTTCGGTCGACGTTATACCCAGACGCGACCCTGGACCCTCCGTTCAGTAGGGGCCGGACTCTCATCTTGGGCTGTTTGGAGCGTCTGGGTAAGAGATTTGCCGGTGCCAACTCCGCCACCTTCGGATTGAATGCGCGGAGCCCTGGCACCACCCAATGATCTTCCACCAGTCCCTCACCCCTCCCACCCCTCCCCAAGCACCTCCCACGTCTTCCGTGTCTCCACCCAAACCCAAACCTCCGACTCTGCACCTGGTGGCGCGTGGAGCTTCAGCGAGCCGCCGGCAGAGAGCACGGCGCCCAGGGGCACGCCATCCACTTGGATCTGCAGAATCTCCAAGGCCCTGAAGGATCTCTCGTGCGTCCGCCACGTCGGTCGCGAACCGAAACCCACCCGAAACGCGCCACCGGGCGTTCCTCCGTTGAACCCGCACCCGGTCTGTTGAGTGGGAAACAAAGGGTTTTGGCGTGGAAAGCGCGAGGTTCCCGCCCCCCTTTTGGTGGTTTTCCGCGGCGTGGCTCGCGGGAGAGGAGAGGAAGTCTCTGGGTTTTTGGGGGAGAGGAGGGCTCTGCTGGCCACGGGAGACGACATAGGCTGAGCTGGATGGAGAGTGAATTGTGTGTGTTGACATGTGTTGACGTCATGTTGTCGCACATGGCCACTGTGGACCTGGTACGGCTTGAAAAGGGTCCACAGAAGTCCACAGAAGTCCACTGGGCATGCCGGATGTAGAAACAACACCCGTTCTGGGGGAGAAGACATGCGTATTGAGGGGCTCGACGTCATTGAGGGATGCCCCAAAAAAGGATTCTAATTGGAGGATCTTACACCACAAAACCAGGTCATCCATACCAAAAGAGGTTGAGAGACCTTATAAGACCCTGTAGTGGTACATATGGGATGGGCGAAAAAGGGCTATTCAACCTCTCTTGGTATCTTTTAAGGTTTAATGGTGGAAGGCTAGGGGATGGACCTCAAAAGAGAGTGGTTCCATACGCCCATGGCCCTCGAAACCACACACATCTGGACCGATTCCGCTTGTTACTAGTAGCTTCTTCTTGCTAGCAGCGATGGCCTCCACCTAGTAGCTTCTAGTTACTTGCTATGCAGAAGGGCACATCTCGTCACCACTCGCTTCACACCATTCACATCCATTCACGATTCTACCCCTACAAGTCCAGCCTGACCTAGTAAAACCAGCTCGCTTGCTTGAAGTGTTTTTGTATGACCAACTCCAGTGAGGTCATTGGCCTGTAGAGTATTCATTCTTTTGGACCATCAGGTGAGTCTATTCCACAGAAATGGCGGACTCGCACCAGGCTATGTTCATGGAACACCTGACGCAGCACGAGCGCGCCCCCACCGGACGTTCCCCTACCGGCAAGCCTGATGAACACAAGGTGAACCACCACACAGGTACCCAGAGTTAGGGTGGGGGAAAAAACTAAGGTCATCCCAAGCGTCATCCCTAGTTGCAACAAACTCCTGGTAAGTCCAGGAGCATGACATGCAATCACACCGCAAGCACTGCTCCGTAACCCGCTCCGTAACCCGCTCCGGATCTGTTCCCGCTCCGTGCTGCGCGGCGGCAAGAGCTCGTGGGTCTCCGCCCAAGTCTGCTGCAAAAGCCATGGCCTCGGGTGCATCGAGAAGGGGCGCCATGAGGATCAATCCTCCGGTCCGCCACGAGGATCTCGGGTCGCCCCAAAAGCGCGGCAGCCTTCCGCGTCAGGTGTGGAGCGTCTCCCAAAAGCTCCGAAACATGTTCTGGAACACCTCCTAAAGAAGGAGAACGAAAAAAACGATCCTCTTCCAAACTGCTGTGCCTCCCAAACTGTGCGAAAAATTTGGGAAAGAATCAACCGACGCCAGTGGACTCCATCTGGTCCCAGCAGCCCCAGCGTGGTCTCATTCTCTGCCTCGTGCACCACGAGGCGCTCCACACGGAGCTCTGACCTGGGTTCGTACCCGGCTCCCGCGCAAAGGGCGAGCAGGTACCCCCAGACACTCCATGGGGCTGCCATATATATGCCTACATTGACCCCGAAAACCACTCGAATGTAGGCATACTTGTATCTTCCAACGTTGGCAGAAATTCTGCCTGTTCATCCATAGTTGGCAAGCCATAGTTAGCAGAAATTCTGCCAACGTTGGAAGATACAGGTATATGGCAGCCCCATGGATCGTGTCCTCTCATTGACGGAGCCACAAGGAATCCCTGGGTGGTGTGGCTCGTCCCATCGGCCGTGGAAAGCTTCGGATGGAGCGACCGAGTGACTCGGAGTTGAAATCCCATCTCTCAAGGGGATCTGGGACAGGCGGTCAGCCGTGGCCTAGATCCAGGGGACAAGTTCGGACATGGAAGGACCAATGGGATGACCCCAACGCTCGGTTTTGACGTTCATCCGATGTGACCGGGTGGGGTGTCCACCCCCCTCTATCCTTTCGTGCGGAACCGGCTGGTCCATGGAACTGGTGGTTCAGTTTCTTTGGGAAAGACGAGAAGAGTACCAAAATGTCGAAGGCTTCAGCTTCTTGGCGGCCGATGGGTTCTGCGGGGCCGAAGATCCTTTCAGTTTCAGGGCAGACCTTTACTCAAGTGATCTAAAGTGCATGTAAAGTGCAAGCTTTGCCTGGCTGTGCAAATGAATCTTAGTTTTTTGTTGCCCCCCTCAAACTGTCCCCCCAACCTCGGCTCCGGTCCTGTGTGGGGCGGGGGGGTGACACAACCACTGGCGCCTTCGGGCCCCCGGCACCGTGGCGTCCGCGGCCTCCGTCGCGTCCGCGGCAGGCGCGTCTTCGTCCGCGGCGGAGCTGGTCGTCACAACGTCGGAGTCCTGCCGTGGGCCGTGTCTAAAAACTCTAAATCATCTAGATTTGCCTTTGATGGCTTTGTTCCACCTGATGCACTCTGAACTGAAGAGTCAGGATCAATATGCTTCGATATGATTGGGGAATCTCTATGGAATCACTCCGCTAGTGGTAAAGCCATGTAACTAAAAATCAACAATCAACAAACAAACCAGCAGTTCTATGGAGTTGGGTGCTTTCCATAGAGGAGGAAGGAGTGTTCCGGTGTCCCTGTCACATTGTGACACCACCACGCTCAAGTACTTGAGTAAGAACGGGACGAGTTCTGGCCACCACCCAACTCCATGCGACACCTTGTTCCAACTGGTTTTCCCGGGGCAGAACATGCCAACCGACTTGCTTGGCCCGTTTCGCTTGGCCCAGATGTTCAGCCCATGACCGATGGTTCGGCGCAAGAGGCGGCCGACCCCAACGGGCGATTCGCCAGTTCAGTTCGCCGTCCTGGCGGATTCGCTGCTTCCTTGATTTGGAGAAAAATAGAGTATCCACAATTACCGAGCTTCTGGGGCCCACTCAACCCTCTTCATCCGCAAGACACCACATCGACGTTCGCATGAACCTCTTGCCCTGCTCCCCTCATAAATGATTGGGGAAAAACCGCCGGAAGAGCCGCCAATGGAACAGCAAAGTCCCCTACCACAGAATCACATGTCAAGGTTGTGGTGTGGTTCAAGTCCCATGAAGGACAGAACTGCTGGATGTTTTTCACCTCACAGCTAGAAACGGCTGAATCCAGCGGCTTCGCGTCGCTTCGGCCTCCTCCGCCTGGATGGCCTCCGGTACCTTCGGCCATTCGTTCGTCGACGTCGACCGGCGGGCGCCTTTCTCTTTTGGTTGGCCGTCTACATCGCAAGTAGGTTGGAGGCCATCACAGCTTGTAGCTTGTCCCGTTTTGGACCCCCAAAAAACGGCCCGTCAGAACGGAAGACGGACGGAAGCTCTCTCAGGGCTCTCTCTCGCAGTGCAGTGAGTCGGAAGCTCCGCGTGTACGCTCTGCTCACCGAAACATCATCGACCCCCAGGAGAGACTGCAGGCAATGAAACAGAAATCTGGGTTCGCCTCGTCATGAGTAATGGTCAGCAGTCAGAGTCACACAGCTGATGTGACAAGATCAGCTGAAACTTCGCAAAACCTCAGGCCCCAATCACTCGTCGATGATCGAAAAACACATAAATAAACAAATAATAAAGTGCAAAATAATGCGTGAGGAGGGTGGTGGCACGTCAACTGAGTTTTTTTTCGACACATGTTTTCGGCCTGTGAACGCGGTGTTTGGACCATCCACGCCCCCCAAAAAGAAAGGGTGACCTGTGAAATGGTCCCCATCTGCCACCACCGGCATCGTCAGGGCTTCCCGACCACGATGGGCCGTTGAGGTGCCGAAGCGCCCAAGCGCACGCCGGCTGCCTGGGGGCGATGAGGGGAGGCCCGGGCGCGTTCCACAACAGAAGTTCCAGGGTTGTGGTGTGATGAGGTGGCATGTTTCTGTCTCCGGTGGGTCCAAGTAAAAAGAACCCATGGCTTATTATTCCATTGAAATCTGGCCGTTGCCAGCCTGTGTTTCCATCTCCTCACAGACCCCGACGTCTCGTCACCTCCAAGGTCACGTACCACCAATCGATCGAGAGGTTCGTGCTGTTCGGCAAGGTGACGGTGGCCTGGAAACCTCGGGGGCCGCGGTGCGAGCCAACCAAGGTGACCCAAACAGGTGGATGGTGGATGAAGAGTCACCACCTTTATTGGTTATGTTGGTCAACAAGGAAAGCTTACAAGCAAGCAGCAAGAGCCTCAAAAAATAGACGCCGAAGCGAACACAAAAGCAAGCAAACACAGTGACGACATGGAAAGCATTGTGCACAAGCAGCCGTTGGCTCGCTGGCGCAGACCCGCTGTATCTGTTTTGGCCATGCACTGTCCGAAGTCGCGGGCCTAGGATGAAACGCCGGCGACCTTTGAGAAGAGGTACCTGACGCCGTGGCATGGGACGCGTACCCTGCGAGGCTTCCTTCATGTCCTCTCGTCGGCCTGGCACGACTCCCCCAAAACACGGTACACTGTAAGAACATGTCTAACCACCTGTCACAGAGAACTATAATACGAACTGTTTCCCTACAGGCTGGGCGCCCGACGCCCGGCCGATGTGTCCGCCTTCGGACACCCAAAGGCATCCATCCTCCCCCTCCTCCTCACATCCAACCGGTGGCCTTGGATCAGGCGCCGATGTTGCACTGACGTCTTTCTCTCAGAACTTGGGTTCGGGCAGCTCTGGACCACGCTCCATCTCTGCCTCTTCAACGTTCTTCTTCGTCCTGTTTGGTTTTCATATTTGGTTGCTTTCCTCTCTTGTGTTCCCTATTTCTACACACTCAAGAAAAGATTGCACAGGGAAAGAGATGGAAAATATGAGCGAAAAGAAGCAGACAAAGACAACCATACTTGGTGGTTGGCTTCTGCTTATGGAACTTTAAAATTTAAAACTATTATATACTGTAAAGCATTCAGAAAGCTTATAGAGACTTGTAAGTTAAGTTATTGATGTTTAAAAACCCAAGATTTTGTATAGTTCAACACTTAGCTAAGTTCAACCGTAAGTTTTATAAATTCTCTAAGTTCTTAAGACCTTTTCCAAACTCTACATTGTTGATTCATGAAAAATCTGTTTGTTTGTGCGCCACAAAAAGTTCTCATCAGACAAAATATTGTGCGCTTCTTACTTCTTATTTTCAACTAACACTTTCTGGTTGCCTATAAATACTAGGACTAGGATGTGTGCATGCTTTTGAAGTCTTGACAATGAGCCGCCATCGTAGCAAGAATGTTGTGAATAAACCATGTACAAATTATGTTTATGTAAAATGATATTTAAATACTGCATAAATAAGGTATAAACCGAAAATTGTACATAGTTGAAAATAAACATGTATAGTTTGAAAAATCAATATGTACAAATGATGTATATTTTTAAAAGGTGCGCAGGTCATGAAAAACTCAAACGGCAAAAAGATTTTGCACATCGCCAAGGTTTCGGTCTATTTTCTATCATGCCAAGCATTTGCACCTATCAATTTTCTATTGCAAGGCTAGGCAGACACTCTCTTAACGCTTTCTCAAAACCATTGTTCTGGAAAAAAAGCATCTGGAAACAAGAACTCCAAACAAATAGAAACCGATTGCTTTCAAAGACACAACAGTTAACTTCCATGTAATTTATAGTCTCCAGGCTCAATTTCTATAAAGCTCTTCAAAAATACTTACAAACATTACTAAGCACAATAGAACTTATACATACTTATAAGTCACACAACTCACTCTAAAAAACTTAGCTTTGTAAGTGTTGTTATATATATATATATGTGCGCTGGTCGCTGGTTTTGACATATGCTATGAAACTTCCAAGCAAAAGCCAACCACCAAGTAGAACAGAAGAAAAAATAGTGAAAAGTAAGACTAAACTTGAGAGCAAAAACAAACAACAGCAAGCACAGCTAACAAACAAGGGTCTCAAAAAGGCAAAGTAATCAAATGCCAATCAGAAGGATGTGTCAACACTGGCATCTCCATCAAGCAGTGGTGCAGTTGACACGGAAATGGACTGCAGATTCCCAAGTAAACCGCTGCTGCCGTACTTGGAGCACTGAGGTCCTGGCCACGACCCAATCATTCATAAGGGGACAATACCTGTCAAGTAAAGATATCGAGAGCAAGTGTTTGCGCATGTCGGCACTTCTTTACCCACGAATGATCCCCAAACGGTAGACCCACTGAAACGGATATCTTTTCACCCACCAAAACAACACCCCGACACACCAACACACCAAAACAAAACAAGATCTGCTCTCAACAAGCTACCAACAGAGATGTGACTTTGTCCCCGGCTCAGTCAAGCTTCACCGCCTTCTGCTTCTTCTTCCCCTTTTTCACGATGATACACTCGCCCAACGTCGCCAGCTGTGGAATACGTTGATCGAAGTAAGATCGGCATAGGCGAGTTTTGGCATCAGCAAGGCTCCGAAACGCACTTTTTGTTGCCACCCTTGTCGGGGTGGCACTTCAGAGCTTCCCTCCTGGGCGACGGAGACAGAGGTGCTCTTCGGGGAGTGACCGGAAGGATGCCTCCCTTGGATGGCAAATTGCAATTTGCTGCATCTTTCACAAGCCAGTCAGGCCACTGCGCGCCAGCAAATCTTTGCAGATCCCCTCCAGCGTCTTTGTTTGAAACGCTAGCCCCCTATTGGCGCTGGATCTTTTCAATAAACATCACACACCCTCTGAAACCAATCAAAGATCAGAAAGGGTCAATCCTTCCACCCAGGGTACTGCTGGTTCCACGATCTAGCGCCAATCTACCGGTTTTTCTAGCGCCACCATGGTGAAGTAGTGTTCGTACCGAAGATTCAAAAACCATGTCTGCAAAAGAATTGCTGTCATTTCTTGGGCGGGACTCGTCACCCGCACATTGCGTCCATTGCTGCCAAGGAGCGGTGGACTCCATGTGGCATCCATTCCGCTCTTGTAGTAGTACACGGACCCGATGAACGAGTCCGTGTACCATTTCCACCCGTCCACCTTGCACAGACTGCAAGTCAGCCAACAAGAGCCATGGAGGGGAACCCTTCCCCCTTCTTCGACAAGGTCTATGAACACGGATTCAATGCGTATGTGGCCATGTATGTTGGCGTGGGTACAAAACTCATTTTCACCACGGCTTCAAGGTGATGGAAAAAGAGTTGCGCTCACGTGGTTTGTTCAATCAATTAGTCCATGCTCTCTGTGCCAGGCGTTGCCTGAGAGGGCCTGGCGCTGGAATCTTGAATGTTAGACTTCCAACATGGCCTCCTCACTTACTATCTTTGTGAAACATGTTGTGTTTACAACAGTTTTTTGGTGCAATGTCCGTTGTGGGCCTCTAAAGCCCTGTCGTGAAACAAAAAATGGTTGGGATGTGGCAGAGGGGCATATGTGTCGCTGAGATGCAAGCTAGTTTGCGCACATACTGTGGTGTGGGTGTGGCACGTTTTACTTTACCAAGTTCGACGTGGAAAAGTGAGAAGTGGCACACCGATGCTGGATGTCGTGTTTTCTGGGCATGAACTGTTTACGTATGCCTCAGTCTTTGCATGTTCAACATATGTTATGCTATTGACATGAAACTTCCGAGTTACTGGCGCAAAGGAAAAACAAGGCAGAGGATTTCTCAGCACACACAGTTTGGCATCCAGGTTTACTTTGCTTTACCCTCCACACACAATTTGGCGTCCATGTGCCCACTGTCTTGGCATCAGGTCCAGGTATGGTAGCGGTAGCTGTGAATATCAACCTCTGACAGCTGATCAATCTAATTTAACAGCTAGTCAACACGAATTTAACTTGCTGTCTTGTGCTGTGTTTCGCAGTACAGGGCTTATGCAACTCTGACCAATGCTCCCACGGAGCCCCGATTCAAAGTGTGTCACCACTGGGATCACGTGGCGGCTTTTGCTTCTTATTGAATTGTTCTGTTCCAAATTATTTCCAAGCAGGGGGCTAGCGGCTTAATTCTCAACGCTAGCCAACGAAGCTAGAGAAATTAGTGGATGAGTCTGTGGACGCACAGACTTGTACCTACTATCCTTTGACTTTCAATTCCTACTTGGCCCCGTACCTAACTAGAACAAGGCCTTTGGCGTGTGAGTGTGAGTGTGAGCCTGTGTGAGTGAGAGTGAGAGAGTGAGAGGGCACTTTGTGAACCTCGAAGCGCAGATCTCTGCTGTGTGGAGCCTAACGACGAGAATCTGATCGGCTCGCCCAGAATGGTTCGTTGCCTCGAGTTCAACCGCTCAGGACCCAACAGCCAAGATCTCAGATACAAGACCTCAGATATATCACATCGGCTGCACATATACCACTGGCGTGCTACGCTTGTTTGCAAGTCGCTCTCGAAATGCTGAGGCTCTGACAATCTGAGGTTCAACGCTCAAACGGTAGTCCCTTGTGTCGCGATCTGCTCAAGCCCAAAGCTGCGACAAGAGACACAATTCGCTTTCGATGCTCCCTTTTCAATCTCTTCTGCTTATCTTTCTTTCTTAGGATTCCTATTCCTTTTCCTTTATCTTCCAGATCTTTCCCTTATCATACCTTTGTCTACTTTCGCTTACATGCCTTTCTTGCAGAATAATCAACAACACATTTTGGGCAGCTGTCTCCTTGCCACAGCATCCGAAGACTTTCATGCCGGGCCCCGAACCTGGCTGGAACGGATCTTGAGTGGAAGTCTTCTGAAGGGAAGTCACAGCAACCTTTGAGGTTTTTCTCTTCCTTTTCCTTCTGCTGAGCATGTTGTTCCGGTCTTCACCACATGGAAATATCAAAGGCCATGAGGCATCTGCTGGCTTCCGCTCTCCACCCTCCTTTGCAAATCTGACCACTTCTTGCACATCAAGCATCTTCTTGTAGCCATATTGTCGCTGCCCCTCTCGTCCTTGCCGTCCCTGCTTTGCTTCTTTGGCAGCAGGTATATAGTAGTTATATAGTAGTTGGTAGTTAGCACGCAGCATGCAGCAGGCAGCAGGCAGCAGGTAGGAGGTAGGAGGTAGGTCGGAGGTAGGAGGTAGCAAGCAGGGGCTGTACATAAACCGACCACTCTTGCCCTCGCCTGATTGTGCGAGGCAGCAGGAAGCAAGGCTATGAGAGCAAGACAAGCAGCTGCGGAAACTGCAAGGCAAAGAAAAAAGTAACAAATGCATACAAATGCTCAAATTGCCAAGCCCAGGGGTCATAAATGGGTCATAAATAGATGTATTGTCATACGAGCCGATTCCAATCCCATGGATGGTCCAAAAAGTGTCGAAGACAACGTGAGTTCCCACCTCAGAAGCCATATCTGCACCAGGCTGGAGGTGAGGACATGCTCGGATCTTCGAGTTCTAAACAGTTTCGCCCAAGTCCCCCCTGTCCGATCCCGATCCGCTCGGGATCGGTCCGGCTCTCTGCGCGGTCTCCTCCCCCCACCGAATCTCCTGGGCCCCGTCGATCCGTTCCTTCAACCCCCAAGAGAGGTAGTTTAGGATTCGTTCCTTCAACCCCTATCGTGACCGTAAATAGGACCCGGAAAACCTGGGGTACCGTGGCCTGGGATAGTGAGTCACGTTCAGGTCCTCCTTCCACCTCTCTTGGGAAGGCCAACCCTGCGCCCCAGTCGCTGTAGTTCGTGTCCGGCGCCAGCGCCTGACCGGTCGACCGGTCCGGTCCGACGAGGGCGACGGAAACGGGTCGAGGGGAAGGGAGCGGAGCGCGTGCGTCAGAAGAGGGTGCGTTTCAGACACGGTCGGGTGGGGATGAAAGAAGGACAAAGCTTCCTGAGTCCTCCAAACTTCCAAACTTGGATTCAGAGATGATGATAACGAGATGGTTCACTTACTGCAGCGAACTTCAGGTTGTTGGTTGATGTTTGTTTCCCATTTTTTGGGGGGTATCGTATCTCATTGCAAAAAAGTAAAAGCATGTAAAAGCCCATCGAAGGGTTGGGTGGGACGTGTCCTTTCCCTCCAAGTGCTTTGGTGGACAAGCCCTGAAACAGAGAAGAAACTCGAGCTGCGTCTTCCTTTGCCGCTTCGATGATGGTCTTTTCCGAGAGGATATCTCCATGTTGACTGTTGATTCAACAACACCCCCTCTACAGGATGCCACATCTCCATCTAAGTGCTGGGGTGCTCTACTGGCAAAAGTCTTGCTTTTCTTCGCGCCGCGACTTCCCTTCGTTTCCCTTCGTTTCCCCATTTGACCTCTATCCTACTACTCTATCCCACTTAGATCCCTCCTTAGATGACCTACTTATATAGATGACTCTATCCTACTTAGATGTTCTTAGATGACTCTATCCTACTTAGATGACCCTCCTATTCTCACACATCACATATGGCGCCTCATGAAGTTGCTTCACCACCTGCTTGGTCTTCGGATCTTACAGGCTTCTCCTTCTTTCTCCTTCACGCCCATCCACCGCCAGGCCGCCAGGCCCTGAGGCGCCGTGAGGTGTGTTTCTCCTGGTTTCTCCATGACGTCTACCCATCCCATCCGCCTCCCATCTCACATCCTCCCATCTCCCTCACCGCTCTCCCGCGCCAGCGCCGACGCCAGCGACGCCAGCGACGCCACCCACCCAGCGACCCGACGCGCTGGCTCCGGAGCTCTCCGCTCTCCGCTCTCTCGCCTCCCAGATGACCAGCTCCAAGGTGCCAATGCCTTCGTTTCCGGTGGAAGCACCACGGTTTCAACCGTGGAAGATGGAGGATGGACCGATCTCGGATGGAGGATGGGCGGCTGGAGATTTCCAAAACTGGCAGCGAACAGATGTTAACATTGGGAAGATGATGCTACTCCTCCTTGTGAGTCTTGAGAGACTGTGAGTTTTCAACAGAGGCGCATGTAAGCATGTATAGTATGTGTGAGGTGGTGTGCCTGAGCTTGTCTAGATGTGAAGTTGCTTTGTAAACATGTTCCTTCAGTGTACCTCTGTAGGATGTTGACTCCCTCCTGTGTCTGTAGGCTCCGAAAATCCTGTTCCACGTGCCGATTTTCGAATGAGCTCCTTCACGCAGTGCCGAGAAAAAGGTCCAAACCCGGTCCCGAACCCCGTTTTCGTCATGTTCCCGAAAACCCGCGCAAGGCCAGACCTGACCTCGCTGTTTCTCGGCAGAGAAACCGTCCGCAGCGCCGGTCACCCCCGCCATCAAGAACATCGGCGTTCCGCCGCGGTCAGACGGTGTGCGGTGCCAGGCGCGCCTCGGCACGTGGCGTGCGCCGTGGGCGCTGCCGTGAAGCGGCTGGGCCACAAGACCACAGCGCCTGGCAGCGAGGATAGGCGAGGAGGCCAGCGCCGGCGCGTGCGGCGAAGAGATCCAAAGGGGGGCCCAGAACATGGACTCACTTAGGGGACAAAACAACACCCCGTCTTGCGACTCCTGGGAGAGGTTGAGATCAGTTGAATCTTTTTGGGGAAGGAGAAGGATCATGGCATGATCATGGCATGATCCACATTGTAAAAGAACTCCCTCGTGTCAGGAATGTGGTGCTGTTTTCGTTCGCTCGTGGACTGCGGTCGGGGCAGGGATGTTGAGATTGAGGTTCAGATTGATCCGAGCTGCTTCCAACTTGAGGTATGGTGAGGTGCTTGGGATGTGAGGATAGGACAGCATCCTCCGGTGGCCTTCTTCATGAATGAACATACCACCACCACCACCACCACCACCACCACCACCACCACGAAAGGGTGGTTATTTAATATATTGTCATTAAATATTACCATTATTAAACTATATATTACTAGTCTGTTTTCATTGTCGTCTTTTTCTGTTGTGTCTATTTCTATAGACAAAAAAACAAACAGTCAGGAGGGTCTGTAGACCAGAGAGGGTGGTCTATTCGACCGAACATGGTCTACTTTCTCTTTTTGGGCCAGGTCCCGTGGACCCGTGGACCCTGAACACAACATGTAGACATGGATGTCGCTGAACAAGTTCGATCCAGCCACCTGCAGGTATTCTAATCATCCTGGTTTGCTATTCGGGTGGAGGCCATCGCTAGTAGGACAGAGGCCATCGCTTCTAGGTAGTCATCGTTTCCATTGACTCGCTCAAGATCGTACCTTCCCGGCATAGGAGGCTCACTTGCTCAGGGGCCTCAGGAAATTACGGGCTCCCCACGGCGGCGTTGCTTCGATCGAAGGGATGAAGTCATTGGAACGGCATGTGCGGTCACCGCAGGTTCGGTGACCCATCTCCCTTGGGTCAAACGACCCATCTATCTACCGCCCTTCCTTCACCCCCGCATCTGACATGGTCCGATGGTCATGAGTCATCGTCTGACAGGGCCGACGTCTCTTTCTAGTAGGGTTTCAGGTCATGGACCTTGCCCCCGACTGTGACGGGTTTTTTTTGGACCAACCACAGACCCTTTCAGCATCCCTCGTCTTCAATGCGGCGACCGCTGAAACACATCGCTCCGTTCGACGCCGAGGGTGTCCGGAGAAAGCAGTTCTGTTCCTGGAAGTCAATTGACTGGTCTTCTGCCCTCAAATGAGCTTGCTAAAATGGTGGAAATCATGATCAATCACCAGCAAGCAAGGACAGCAAGCATCAGAACCACCAGGAAAAAATGAGGAGGACTCTGATGTAGAGTCCCAGCAGAAATCAATAGATACAGAAAGCAATCCTCTTTGAACATCTATTGCAACGGTTGTCTCCATATGGCTGTGGGCCACGCACGAGTGCTCAATGGAGATGTTTCACTACGCAACCAACGCAGAATCGATTCGGATCACCTTCGCACACCACGCACTGCACTGCAAAAAAGGCCGAGGAAAACGATCGAATTGTAGACTCTGTCTATGATATTTCAATCCCCCTCCATGAAAAGTTGTTTTACAATCCAGGTCTGGCATTTTTTCATCAAGAGTCTATGTAGGCACATTGCTCTTTCCCAAGCAGCTGCAGCTAGAGTAGGTCCCTTTGGGGATCCCTTTTGAGATCATCGTTTTCTGAACCACCCCGCTTCTGATCCTCCAACTCATCCCCCCCTGCTGGCAGAAGACTTCCTCATGTGAGGTGGGACACTGAGTGAATGCCACGACGGTCTGGTCTTCAAGAGTTGGGTTCTCACAAGTGCATGTCCTTTTCAAGTCGTACCAAAAGTGACGAATGAAAGTGACAGTTACCATTTGTTCAGACCTTTTGTTGCTTCCGTCCATGAAACACATCCACGTCATCCAGTTCGGTTTTAATTTGTGTTCGGCCAGAAAGACCCTCTTATGCTACAGCTGCTACGCCCAACACCTGTTCCCCAGCTTTAAGACAAACATCTGACTAACAAACCTACCAACAGAGGTGGGTCAGGACCTGAACCTTCGACTATCCCAGTTCGGTACCCCAGGTGGCGGGTCCTATTTATGGTCACTTAAGCTACCTCTCTTGGTACGGCTCCCCTGGGCCCTCACATACAGCCGCACGTAGACCGGCAGCCCCAAGGCCTCGCAGGCCGGTCTAGCGGCGCAGACGAGGCAGTTTCGACAAGTGGTGCAAAGGAAACTCAGATCCATTGGGAGACCAAGGAGACCAAGGGCAGCTTCCCCCCCCTGGAAGAAGGAGGAAGTCCAATTTCAACTCACTTGGTGATCGGCTGGCTCCACTCCCCAAGACTCGATGAATGAGGGGTGTTTCACGCCTCATCCAGCAACACTGCACTGGAACGTCATACCCAATACAAGTGCTCCGAAGAGGTGTCATAATTCATCAATTGATGTCTTGTAATCAGGTGCTCTTCAGGTGTTTCTCTTGTAAGCCCCATATGAATCATGTCTTGTAAGTGGATTGGTGTCTTCTTGTAGGTGGAATATTCCACTTACAATGATGCTTGAATATTGACCTTACAATCCATGATGAATTGCTGGTGGATTCATTCCGAATGTTGAGTCATTCATATCCACTTACAAGCGGATTTCGGAATCGACCTGTTCTTGCTCTTAACCTGCTGTCTGCTTCCCTTTTTGGGCGCCCTCAGCACTTCAGACCGGCCAGTGAGGGTACTGGTACGCGTCCAGCCACGCGTCTTCCCGTAAGTGCTGCCGGTGCGTGAGGGGGGGGAAGAGACTCAGACGAAACCGGTGATCAACATGAAAACCGCTCCTACGCCGGGGGACCCAAACAACGGGGGCCTTTCTTTCGGCCTGAGCTGGTGGGACACAAGTCCTGGGAAGTGTCTGGCATGGTTTCCGCGTGGACGAAGGACAAAATCGTTCTTCCCGACCTGTCCATGTGATTCATCCATTCTTGGTTCAGGTCAACGCCCCTTCACAACGAAACATGTGACAAGACGTCTGCGGTTCGGCCCTGTTCACGAAACATCACAAAAACACGAACCGCAGCTCCATGGAGCAAAGGGGTGAAGCGAGTGGACAGTTATATGATGTTATATGCTGCTCTAGCTTGGAGGCCATCGCTATTAGAAACAAAGGGAGGAAAGAGAAAGGAAGACATCCAGGACACCCTAAGGGGTGGTGCATGGGCGCCTCGAATCACCTCAGCTACACCTGAGCTACACGCTGTGACATCGCGAGCGGCGCGCCAGCAACGAGAAAAGCCAGCCGGCAGCGCTTACATCCCCGGAACTCCGACAAAGGTTCCCGTTCGACTTCCGTTCAACCATTGAAAAAACATGGGAACGACTCTGGTGTTTGTATAGTGTAAAATCCTTAGTGAAACAATGGTTGTTCGGGATGACCCGCCTATGAATTTCATGGTGGGCCAGGAAGTCTACGGGGAACTCCGGAGCTCCGGAGCTCCGGAGCCACTTTCGGCCCATGTCTTCATGACACCGGAGGAACCACGATGTGACCTCGATTTTGGACCACCAACCACCCAAAGGATGGGTCTTGTCCGATCAAAACAGAGGTCATGTCTGGATTCACGTCTGGGTTCTAGGTCTGTACTTCCGTTCAGGGTGACCTGGACAAGCCTACGCTGCTGGAAAAGGTCACCAGACAGGAAGCGCTAGGTCGAACATAGAAATGGCATGAAGCTCGCAATCTGAGACCTTGGTTGGAAAGTCTGGTGCCCTGAGTCCTGAGAAAAACCCACCAACAACCGCCAAGCGCACACCGAGCATGTCCTGCTCCTTCGTTTTCTATCTTCTGAACCTCCCTTTCAGAGAGTAGAACTGGGTGCAGGTCATGATTCTCAGGTCTGTTCCCAAAATGAACCGACCTCGACGTCAGAAGGATGAAAGGGCCTCCCCTATCTGTTTGCCACCACCTTCGATGCGGCCAGCCCACGCGAAAAAGAAGCACGCGGCAAACAAAAGAAACGCCTGGAACGAGGAGATGGTCACGGCTAAGGTGGACTTGGCACCTGGAAAAAAAAAGAATCGTTGTTCGTGCACCGACTTCACGGGTCACCAATTGAAACCTGTTAGGGCTCTTCCCAACCCATTTCGGAGACCTGTTGGGTTCGGTACCACACACGTGCATCTCAGATCCAGGGCTTCAGCCCTCAAGTTCGGGTCGACATGGCTTTCCCCAGTTCCCGAACCAGTTTGGGTCGAACGAACGAACCTGGGAGGCTCGTCCCATGCAGTTTCGGCTCCTACACAGGTCCGGCAAGAAGGTCCGGCAAGGTACCCCGAACCCTCGAAGCGAAGCCCGGATCTCGCCTCGATCGTGTGGGTCGTTCCATGTCCATTTCTCCCGTTCGAGTCGGAGTCGGAGTCGGAGTCGGAGTGATGTGGGAAGGGCGGATGGGTGGTTGGTGGGCAAGAGTTGCTTGGTTGGGAGAGAGAGTACTCCTCAAGGTACTTTTGGTACTTTTGCTTGTACACGACAAGCATGTGTCCGTAGAACCCGTTCTTTCCGTCCTTTTACCCTCAGCTTTTTGACGCAGACACCTGGAGACAAGGAGAGAGGAAGGTTCAGGTAGTCCAACGCCAGGTCGAAGGTCTCTGGCCAGAGCGGATACCTTGCCAATCAGGACGACCCAGGACGCCCCGTCGAACGACGTGAACGGTTGCAGAAGCGAAGCTTCAAAAAACACGAAAAACGTGAAAATACGTGAAATATAACTCATACCAGCACCCTCCAACAGGTCACCAATTGAGGCCTGTTAGGGTCCAACAACCCTCAACTAGCAGCCTGTTGGAGGGTGCTGGTATATATAGATGCACCCGACTTCACAGGTCACCACCTGCGACTTTGATGTCTCCATTTCAGCCACCATGTTGGAGACCGGCCTGTTGGATGGTCCTGGTAGATGCAATGCTTACAAACCATTCCAATGATGACCTATTTTCCAATGCTTTGCAAAGCTTACTGGTCTTTTGTTGTCCAGCTTTGGGAAAATAGGCCATCACGGCCATCACGGCCAGTCCCCAGAAGGCCCCCAGCCAGACCGTTCGTCGAAGACTGCAACGAACCCGGACCCCACCCAGGGCCAACCCTCCAACCCGGAGGACGAAGGATGGCGGAAACCATGGTGGAATCCCAGGGCATGGAAACAGATGTTTTTCTTACAAGAGACGACTGGAAAATGAACACAAAGGTGAACGGAATGTCCGCGCGTGCTGCACACCCATGGTCCTGGTGGCCGGCTTCTCCAAAACGCTTGGGGCCAAAATCGCTGCTGTTCCATCCCCCCGAAACCTGACCTCCTCCTCCCCCCCCCTCAAACGCCACACCGAAGACGGAGCCTTCACACCGCTAGTCCTCCGGCTTCCGACCCTTGCTGGCTCGTCCACGCCGGGCGGCCCTGGGATCCACCGCGCCGTGGCGAGCCGCGTGTGGTTCACGTCCTCGAAGCCTCGGAGCGAGCCCCGCGGACGCGACGAGGTCGACGAGGTCGGCGAGGTCGGCGGGTCAGGGTCACCCGCAGGGGGGGAAGAGAGCGGCTGGGCGTCGGCGCGGCGGCGCTGAAGAGCGCAGCGCGGCAGAGCGCAGCGGTCGAACGACAGGTGGAACGTCGGGTCCACGCGAGTCCGTCCGTGAGGTCAAGAAGTCTGCGTGGCAAGATGCGGAAAATGCGAGAAATGTATAGAAATGTAGGGAGAGAAAGGCCACAGGTACTTGTATACAGTTCCTTTTCTGGTAGGACTCGGTAGGACCATTCTGTTTGACAGTTCGCTCTTAAAGCGGCTGGTTCGATTCATGTCAGATAGCAAGATGGCTAGGATAGGGCTATGGCTGGCTCTACCATAGAGGCACCCCAAAAGCCCCAAAGTCATACACTCCGAGTCACTAACAAGGCTTTTCTGGATGGCATGGGCCTCGAAAGGAAGACGATGGTCCACACAACTGGGGTAGTTTCCACTTCCATGATGTGTTCACCGGAGAGTGTACGAGGCTTCGGTGACAGATGTCGGGTGCTCTGAATGAGTTTTGACTCCACTACCCATGCCAATGTCAGGTCCAGTCTGACCTATGTAACAAATTGGATCCTGAAAATCTGGAGTCGTGCTTTTCAACGAGTAACTCCACTAAACGAGGTAAAACGGCGCTTCATTCCAAGACATGCAAAAAAGAACGCCCCCACGACCAATTCCAACCAAGGTGTGAGCCCACGACGTAAGAGTCTTGTCCCCAACAGAGCCAATGCACATATGTTGCCGCCATTGATTTCTTGGTGACCCACTATACGATCTATATGACTTTTGCACACGTCTTCAGGGGCTTTCACCCTGCTGCAGCTTCCAGTCTTCAGACCGGGAGTGGGCGCCCCGCACTCCACGCCCCACGCCCAAGCCACACGCCCCCGCACCGTTCCGTCTGGTGCGCTCCGGGAAGCTCAACCTCCACCAGGGCGTGGCCTCCGACGCGTTGCCGAAGAGCGACGCCTCGGCGTCCGGGCGGGGAGGCGGGCGGACCGCGCTGGGCCTGGAGCGACTCGACCTCAGTCGGTCGCGAGGGAGCTGGGTGGGGCGGATACGAACTTCACCTCGAGATTCGAGCTATTTAATACCCAGACACGACCTGTCTGGGACTGTCATAGGACTGCCGCCCCAGAGGTCAACCTTCTGGTCACCACCCCGGTCGGCTGCTTCGAGAGGCAGTCCGGACTGGCAGCCCCAGACAGGTCGTGTCTGGGGTATACACAGGTCTATGTCCATTCTTGGAGGTCGGAGCGGCTGGGAGGTCTCCCAAATGACTCCTACCAGCACCGGTGAGGTGGGGAAAGACCATCGTTCAAGGGGTACTTTTTGTATAGACAGAGTCGTCCAACTCTGCATGTCAGGTCTGCGGAACTTGGTTTTGTAGATGAAAAGGCATAAATGTCTGCCTGCATGGTTGGAAGATTCAGATGTACAAGAAGAATGGATTTCAGTGCTGAGACCGAGGGCCCAGATCAGGCTGGCGAGATTCACCTGGCGAGTCCAAGCTTTTGAGTACGATGGTATATGCGCCCAATCTACCCTTACATGAAGCCAAAGAAGGACTACCTCTGGAGCACCAACCAACCATTTCCATCCATTCCCTAAGGTATTTTTCCATTTTTTCCCATCAAAAGCAGAGGTCACGTATGGTCAAATGAGCTCGAGGCTCCTCTGGGTCATCCTTGCCTCCCTTGCCTGTGTCACCTTCCCAAGGCACCTGGTCCTCTTCGTCCGGCACCCAAGAGCCTAACGCTCCCGCGCGGCGCGCTGGGTCGCGCTGGTGCCGGACATACGACCCTGAAACCCATCCGATGGTTTCCGGATAGACGCAGAAGGGCAGAAGGGCAGGGCAACTTATTAACCATACCAGCACCCTCCAACAGGCTGCTAGTTGAGGGTTGTTGGACCCTAACAGGCCTCAATTGGTGACCTGTTGGAGGGTGCTGGTATATACTTAACGTCCATCTATTCCAGCAGTCACAGGTCGCTCGGGGTGCCGCTTTCGAACGGAGGAAGGAAGGAGAGGAGGTGACGGTGCCCAGAACATCCATCCATCCACGGCCCCTGGATGGGATCTCAAAACCATCCCGTCTGACGTGACTCTCCCGTTCGTTGACATACCTTCTTCAGGTCTCCAACCAGATTTTTCTGGGAGGTGATGCCACACATTGGAAGCTTTCGAAAAGAAAAACCCGGGAGACGCTAGTGATGAACGATGTCTATACCCATTGAAGCTGTCGAGATGAACAGGAAGATGCGATGAACAAACGCAAAAACGACGACCCAGCGCGCAAGCGAGCTGGGTGGTCGCGCCATTCTTCAATCATGCAGGAAAAAAATGAACTAATCTCCACATATATCATCACGTATCCAATATCCATCAACGTTCTAGGTCTTTCTAGGTCCTACGGGTGAAGCCTTCAGTGCCCAGAAAAGCTGTTTTGGGTCTCATCCATCAGTGCAAAATCTGTGAAATAGTGCTCCCAAGGTGCGGAGCAATGCTGACATCCCCCCCTAACATCCCCCTAAAAGGACATGAACCTTTTTTGGGGTTACGCTCCCATGCTATCTATAGGCAGTACCCCCCAACACCTCCATGACTCCCACTGCCATCCACAAACCCGTGCCAGTCGAAGTCTCACCCGTTCCCGTGCCGGTTGCGTCGCGGCACCGGGGAGATGCTGCACTTCCAGTTCCAAGCGATAGGTCACGGCCGGCGAGAACTCCTCGACCGGTGAAACACGAAACCGGTGGAAACCTCGATGGGTTTCACCTCCCAAGAGAGGTAGCCAGTGACCTGAACTAGGACCTTACTGGGGTACCGAACTGGGATAGGCTAATTATAGGGTCCTTCAACCTCTGTTGGTCTCGTTCGCTCGCGGCAGGTCGGAGGTCGGGTCAGGTCGAGGCGACCTAAGAAAGCCTGGAGCCAGCCTTTTGGTTGAGGTGTTCTCACCCAAATAGGCCAACAGAGGTAGCCAGTGACCTGAGCGTTCGGACCCGGAAAACCTGGGATACCGTGGCCTGGATAGTCTGTGGGGGGTTCTTCAACCTTTGCTGGGAGCTTGGAAGGCTCAAAAGAAAACCGACCAAAAGGGGTCCTCCACTACTTCGTTCCTTAGTCGTTCACTCCCAAATCCGTCCCTTCAGTGATGATCCTGAACGGTGCTTCGACTTGGCAACCATCCAACCACTGACTTCGACTTGGCCATGCCAAGCGAAACCATTTGACCTGTGGCTGTTCTGTTACCAGTATGCGCGAAGTTCTCCCCCAAAAAAAGGAACACCGACAAAATAATACCATCTTGCGTGGCCAAAAAAGGGGAGACTGGAGATCCATCCATTCCAGACCCGCACTTGCTTTCACATCTTTCACCACGAACCACCCCCGGACCCGGCCACCCCACGGTTCAACCGGCCCTCGGCACCTCTGGCAGCACGGTGATCTCCACGTAGCGCTCGCGCGGCGCCCAGCAGCGCCACTCGGAGGGCGGGCCTGGCGCCTCACTCAGCGCCCGCAGCGCCAGCCGCCGGCAGCGGAGGACTGGCAGAGGCCGCGGACGAAAAGAAGAAGGGGAGCTGGTGAAGTGGGTCATGCTGGCTGTGAACCCCACTTCAGCCCCGTCTGACAACTCTTGGAGCTGCTCTTCTCGGCCCACATCGGTGCGGATCGGACCGAATCAGTCGGGAATTGACCAGCATCAGTCCCATGCACTCCATTGTAGTAAGAATCATATGCTTAGACCTACCAGCACCCGAACTCGGCCAGGCTGTTAGTTGAGGGTTGTTGGACCCTGAGACCAGGTGAAACCATTGGTGACCTGTTTGTCGTCGGGACCTCTGTTTTGATCGGGAAAAGACCATCATTTGGGTGGTTGGTGGTCCAAAATAGAGGTCACGTCTGTATAGTACATAACATTGACCTCCGGCTCCCAAACCACAACCACAGACAGGCCGTTTCCCAGGTGTCAGACAGGGGCCCTTTTCCCATTGGAAAAAAGCCATATCTCAAAGCACCAGACATGGCACAAGTGCATACAAGTGCTGCCAAGATGGAGTGTTCGCCATGGATGGAGTGTCTGTCTCAAAGTCCAGACATGGATGGAGTCGTCGTTTCGCGAAGTCCAGGCGCCCGCGCCCCACCCCACTCCACTCGACGACCGGTTCGCATCCGCGAGTCTAGCGCCTCATGCCCTCCGTGGGGGTTTCCCGCCACGCCCTCGCGCGCGGTGACGAAAGCGCCTGCGGTCTCTGGCCCGACCAGGACCACGTGACCGGCGCCCGAGGTGTACGGCCTCCGCGGCTTCAGCGGTTCGGCCGACAGCGGTGTCCGGGCTCACGTGTAGGACCGGGCAGCCATGCGAGGCGGTTCGGTTTTGAAGAGAACCCCCAGGCAGTGACCGACCCAATAGAGGTCATCTGGAAGCTGCAAGCACTGTGGGAACCTTCTGAAGCTGCTGGATGTGTCCTATGATTCAGTGAAACCGACTCGAAGTCTGATGCATTTGTTACTAGACTTCCAGGTGGTTAGCTCTGGCGTGCACAAGCAAAACCACGCAAATCCAGGCACATCAATGGTTTATCGAATCTAGACTTTGACTCACTGACATGCAAGTGGAGTTCACCCCCTGTTTTTTAGACGACAGTACTCTTCCAGGCTCCCATTTTCCCATCACATCCACTTCACCCAGTGATGTGTTCGTCAGTGCAATGGTTTTCCCCCCAGGCTTTCCGAATCCTTGAGGGTGTATTCCCACAAGTAATAGACCATGAAAGGCAACGGGGGTCCACCTGACATGTCAGGACCTTTGGAGGGGAGATAGAACGATCTGCGACGTCCCAAGGGTCTCAAAAGCGAACCGACGGTTGGCATGTCCGAGACGGTCACCAAGTGTTTGTTCTCCTCTCCCGTTTCGCGATGAAGAAAGACATCAACTGTTCACACATCCTCCAACCAGGACCTTTCACCAGGCCAACCTGGTGACGTAAGTCCGGTGCTCAGGTTCACCAGCTAAGGTCTTTAGATCATTCTTTTCTAGTCTTTGGACTCTCAGGGCCTCGAAAAAAAAAAAAAAAAGAAACATAACGTAAAACAATATATTAAAAACAAAACAAAAGAAAACTTTGGAGGCCCTGCCTGAAAGTGACGACCAGCAGCGTATCCCCCAAGATGGGGGGTGTGGCATGCAGCACGGGGAAGTGGCTCCAAGTGCTCGGGATGAGTCTCCTGGAGTGGGAAGTGGCTCCGTGGAAAACTGCCCGCAGGTTTGCTGGGGGTTTGGGTGGGATTCGGGTGGGAAAGGTTTGCTTGATGCGTAGTAATATTTCTTTATATGGAGGCGAAAGTTCAGGTTAACCGGATGTTTGACTTGTTCAGTCTCTTGATGCGTGCAGATCAGACAAATGGGTCAGTAAGGGCTCAGATGGGGGTGCACAACCTCTCTGCAAGCGGAGTAGTTGCCTTTGTTGAAGCTCAGAATCCTTGTGCAAATAGAAACATCCACCTTGTCTTCTTCGATCAGTTCCTGAAGATGTTCACTTGCAAAAACGAGGTGACCTTACTTGTGAATCTGATGTTTTTCCCTTTCACATGAGCATCAAGCCACTTTGCTTCACCATAACTCATCGGTCTCACAACCGAGGCCGAGTCCGGCCTGAGGCCTTCGGCCGATGGAAGTGGTTGGAAGGGCACGAGCTAAATGGATCCCAACCAGAAAGGACATCTCCCAAACTACTCCGGAAAAAAAAGTCATCGCATCTGAACCTCTGAACCATGAAGCGCTGGGGCCAGGGGATGATTCATTATTGGACACCCCTGGGCCCTGGACAGCCTTATATAGGGGGCCCCGGTGTAAAACGGGACAGTCAACCCCAAAAACTTCGATCTACCCAACGAAACTATCCCGTGAAGGGAATCCCATTCGTTGGGAATGACCGTCGTTCCCGCTCCGTCGTTACCGCTCCGGGACCCTCGGAACACCCAGCTCGGTGATAGGTCCCGAAGGTGAACTTGACCCCCACGCTCTCAGTGACACCGGACACCTTGAGGACGCGCTGGGCGGATGGAAATTGGGGTTGGAAAAGTCGAGATTCCCTGGCAAGTCAGAGGAAACATAGACATGCTTCACAGGTAGACTTGGAGGAGGTTTCATTGGTTTTGCTTGATGTCCTTTGCCAGTGGGTGTAGGCGGTACCCTTCTTTTGAGCCATGGCCAATATAGAAAACGGTCATCGTCCCCTTGCCAAGGGTCTTCAGTCTTCGCGCAATTGACTTGGGGTTGTCTTCCCCCCTTCAACCTCCTCCAAACAAAACAGAAGAGCTTACAATCCTTCTGGGACGATCTCTCATGTCCACTAGCCACTCCTCCACCTCTCAGATATGTTCACGGAAAATAATGTAAATCATATTGAAAATCCATCTCCAAGAGTTCCACCTTCTTGCTGCTGTATAGTGGTTGCCCCTGTTGTTTTTCATGTTTATCCTGATGTTCATGTTACGGTTCCATGTGTCTTCCGCGCCGGTCTCAGAGCGAACCTCGTTTTCTTCGCAACGTCCGACGAACGGGGCGCCTGCCAGGGCCCGGCGCTGTGCAACTCCAGGCGCCAGGTCGTCGGCACCGGCGCATGCGGCGCCCGGAGCTGCAGGGTGAGCGGATACAAACCATCGGCCTCGGCGCGCCGAACCGGTGACGCCGGCGGGAAGCACACGCGTAACGCGGTTTTCGCAGCGGTTTTTTCGCGCGGTGTTCGTGCGGTGCAGGTTCGAGGAGATCGTGCGGATTGGAGGTCAAGAAAGAAGATGGCCAGAATCTATTAGAGACTATTATATAGATTATATAGAGACATCTGTTCATATAAGCATAGATCATATTGGATCCATGAACCCTAGAAATCCAGTTCGACTAATTTTTGACCGACTGAAGGTTTCAGGACCTTCCGACCTTCGGGTCACCGAGTCAGACAAAGTCTTTGTATAGTGGACAAACGACTCCAACCACCCACAAACACCGAAAAAACGAAGCACTCAAACCACCCACCCCTTTCAACATCCATCCCCTTTCAACATCCATCCTCTCCTTGGTTCTGAAGGGGAAGGGTACACACCTCCATCCCCTTGCTTCCCTTCAGAACCGGTCGATCTGCCGCACTGCGCCTGCAGCCGCACGGCCGAGGCGTCCAGCGGCACGTGGCAGCTGCAGCATCCGGTCGCGCTGCAGCCGTCGGCCGACAGGAGCCTTGGTGCAGCGGAAAAAAGGGGTGGGTTTTAGGAGGAAAAGATTGTGTTTGCTGAGAAAACCCGCGGTTGGCCTACACAGCACACAAAAAAACTAGACGACGAGTGGCCCGAAAGCATGTTTCATCACGTAGGAAGTCAGAGTGCGAGTTATCTGTTAAGTGTGCAGTGTGAAGTGTTAAGTCGAGTGAGTTGAGGTAGTGTGTGGGTCTCTGTGTGTGTATCTATGTCCGTGTGTATATGAGTCTCTGTCTGTGTGTGTCCGAGTAAGTTGAGGCAGTGCGTGGGTCTCTATGTGTGATGTGTGTGTGTGTATGCGTCCCTGTCTGTGTGTGTATGTCCATGTCTGCTGCTGCTAAAGGTCTTCACTGTACATATAGTGAACGAATTAGCGCGCAGGCCTCCCAAACCCCCCACCGGCACCAAGCGGTGACAGCCCAGCTCATCGTCGTGAGCATTTGGGCTGGTAAGGGGAGAAGCAGCGTGCACGCCTCCAGGAAATCTCACTGAAAAAAGCAAGCTGGAATGAAGCGTACTAAAGTTGTACTACAAAGTCGCCAGTTCTCATCTTCCAGCTCCACAGATTGCTCCGCGTACTAAAGTTCTACTACCAAGTCGCCAGTTCTCATCTTCCAACTCCCCAGATACTCCGCGTACTCAAGTTGTACTACCAAGTCGCCAGTTCTCATCTTCCAGCTCCCCGGATACTCCGCGTATTAAAGTTGTACTACCAAGTCATTGTACTACCAAGTCACCAGTTCTCATCTTCCCACTCCCCAGATACTCCGCGTACTAAAGTTGTACTACCAAGGCGCCAGTTCTCATCTTCCAGCTCCCCAGCTACTCCGCGTACTACAGTTGTACTACAAAGTCGCCAGTGCTCATCTTCCAGCTCCCCAGATACTCCGCGTACTCAAATTGTACTACCAAGTCGCCAGTTCTCATCTTCCCACTCCCCAGCGAGTCCGCGTACTAAAGTTGTACTACCAAGTCGCCAGTTCTCATCTTCCAGCTCCCCAGCTACTCCGCGTACTAAAGTTGTACTACAAAGTCGCCAGTTCTCAGGTTCCAGCTCCACAGATTGCTCCGCGTACTAAAGTTGTACTAGAAACTCGCCAGTTCTCAGCTTCCAGCTCCACAGCTACTCCGCGTACTAAAGTTGTACTACAAAGTCGCCAGGTCTCAGCTTCCAGCTCCACAGATTGCTCCGCGTACTAAAGTTGTACTACAAAGTTTGTAATACAAAGTCGCCAGTGCTCATCTTCCAGCTCCCCAGCTAGTCCGCGTACTAAAGTTGTACTACAAAGTCCGCAGTTCTCATCTTCCAACTCGCCAGATACTCCGCGTACTGAAGTTGCGCTACAAAGTCGCCAGTTCTCATCTTCCCACTCCCCAGCTACTCCGCGTACTAACGTTGTACTACCAAGTCGCCAGTTCTCATCTTCCAGCTCCCCGGCTACTCCGCGTACTAAAGTTGTACTACAAAGTCGCCAGTTCTCAGCTTCCAGCTCCACAGATTGCTCCGTGTACTAAAGTTGTACTAGAAAGTCGCCAGTTCTCAGCTTCCAGCTCCCCAGCTACTCCGCGTACTAAAGTTTTACTAGAAAGTCGCCAGTTCTCAGCTTCCAGCTCCACGGATTGCTCCGCGTACTAAAGTTGTACTACAAAGTCGCCAGTTCTCAGCTTCCAGCTCCCCAGCTACTCCGCGTACTACAGTTGTACTACAAAGTCGCCAGTTGTCATCTTCCAGCTCCCCAGCTAGTCCGCGTACTAAAGTTGTACTACAAAGTCACCAGTTCTCATCTTCCAACTCGCCAGATGCTCGGCGTACTAAAGTTGTATTACAAAGTCGCCTGCATTTCGCGCCCGACACGCCCGATCTCCGCAGAGGGTTGCGCGCGTACAGACTCAAGCGCACTCTCGCCTGCATTTCGCGCACTCGACACGCACGATCTCCGCAGAGGGTTGCGCGCGCACCGGACAAATCGCACTCTCGCCTGCATTTCGCGCACTCGACACGCACGATCTCCGCAGAGGGTTGCATTTTCGGTTGACGCTGTTCGTCCCACCCTCCGCCTTTAAGAGAGAATTTATAAAGTGGGGAAATGTTTTTTCATTAGGACATCTCCCGTGCTAGTTTTCCATGCTCACACTTGCCTAGTCATTGCATGCTTGCATACTCATTGCATGCTTGCATACTCATCATTGCACTTGCATCATTACACTTGCATACTTACACTTGCATACTTTGACACTTGCATACTTTGCACTTGGATGCTTTCGCTCTTCCACTTACACTGGGGTACGTGTAGCGTTCATGTTGTAGTGCAAGTGTGGTGGAAGTGTCAGTGTGTAAGTGTAAGTGTCGAAGTGTCAGTGTTCAAGGGATTTTCCGGAAGAACCCTTCGCAATGCTTTCGGGAATAATGAGGCGAGGGTGGATGAGGACGGTTTAACGTAACTGGTCATTCACAGGGACCTTGGAACTACTCTAAGAAACGGAACCGGACCCCCCATTTTCCGAGCTGCCAACTGACTGCGGCACGCGGTCTTTTTCGGATTATGCCATGCCCGGTGTCGAACCCAACACTTGTGTATATCCCATAAGTGGTGGGTGAAAGAGTCCATCTTAGCATGACAGAAATGGAGACATCCTTTACAACTACAACGTTTTGGTATATCCCACCAGCGGTACAAAAAATGAACGTTTTGAGCCATTTTGGTGCGTCGCGTCGCCGTGGGTTCAAGAATAGAGTGACAGGCCTTGACCTTTCATGCTGAAAGAAAGAAAGAAAGAAAGAAAGTGGTACAAAAAGAGTCCATCTTCTAATACCTACCCCCCCAAACAACACCACACACCGCACGGACTCCGAGGGTCGATCCGGTGCGCCCAAGTCGCTGGAGTCCCTCGGGCAGTTGCAGCGCCACGTGTCCAGGCAAACGGCTGCTGCCCACCAGCAGCGCGCCCAGCGTGAGCACCGCACGCACCTCGGCGGCTTCGCCCCGGACACAGCCACGGCGGCGAAGAACGGTTGGTGTGGACGGGGGGGTGTCTGGCGATCGTTAGGAGGTGTCTGGCGGTGAAGGAGGAAGCCAGACCAGCACCACCCAAAGAATGGTTATAGTCCAGGAGTCACAGGTGGTGGTTTTGTTGTCCCATCCAGTGAGTGGAGGGATAATGGGCACCGCTATGCTCCAATAGGCCCTCCCTTTGTGACTCCTGGGTTATATTAGTTATTGGATGGACATATATAGTCAGGAGGTGTCTAGAAACCACTGACCACCCCTCAAGGGTGGTGCTGGTATGTACTATGCGTTCGATCAGGTGCTGCAGGGGACGGCGAAAACGGAGATGACCTTAGATTCTGAATGATGTGCCATCTAAGGTCATCAAACTGCAGATTCTTGAGATGGCACATCTTGCAGATTAGGTTCCAACAACTGCAAGATGTGCCATCTACTCCGTCAAAATGTCCACAAACCCATCAACAACTCTCGAGTGTTGGGCCTAACAACGGCGTCTGGTTCGGCTGTTCTTCTCAGATGGCGTCTGTCTGGTTCGGCGGGATCTTGGACGCATCTGATCTCAAACCATTGCTTTGCAGAGTAGGAATGGTAGGCCCATGACATGAATCTTCCCCATACCCGACTGAAGTCCAGTTCGACGATATGTTCACCGGCTGAAGTAAAGGAAGTTCCCGAAATCAGTTCCCCTAGTCAGACCTGTCTTTTCCCTGGGAGTCAAAGACTACAAAAAGAATGGTCTTTAGGGGACCTGAAAGGGAACTTCCTTTACTTCAGCCGGTCAAAATATAGTCTTTGGACTTCTAGGGTTTTTATAGTCTTTGACTCCCAGGGCTCTCGACTTCATCAATCGAGCTGACCGCACCCGGTGACCGGAGCTGATGGATGGCCTCAAGGTTGACCGGGGAACCTTTGGTCACTTGTCTTTTTTTTAGTGCGGAAACCAATTCCAAAAAAGGTAAATGGTTATCCGCTGGTTGGGTATGGCCAATAGTCAACTATGTAAGCCAATAGTCAACCATGTTGAGATGGAAGGTAGAAACGCCTCACCATCCAGTCCACACAGCACACACCTGCAAACTGCAGAACACCCTTACAATAATTACCATGGTTGTCCTACTTCTCCCAGTTGCCGCAGACCTTCTTTCATCCACAGTGATCCACACGTCGCAGGCGATGCGGCGAGCGACGGTCAGGTCCAGCCCCAGCTGCACCTCGCCTGGAAGGAAGGGGGCCGTCGTAATGGATCTGTATGGAAGGAAACAGAAAAAGAATGGATCCGCCTGGGACCCCAGTCCAAACCAGAAACAATTGGATGTTCCAATATAGCAATTGAGATCCTTTACATAGCAAGTGGTTGGGACTGTGGAATGGATCCCTTAATTTCTGGTTGGGACTGGGGTTCCAGGCAGGTACCGGGATGTACCAGGAGCCTCTTGTCGGCTGCTCTTTGGACGGTGCTGAACCGACTTGCCACCCAAAAACCAAACGAACGAAGGGTCCAGGGATGGTTCCTGACGTGACGTGTGGCACCTGACCGTGGAAAATGATGCAGTGAGACGGTGAGCTAACCAAACAAGACCACAGAAACATAGCACCGAACAAGAACAAAGCACGAATCGATCCATTTCTCCCCACCCATCCATATACTTATCTACACTACATCACCAAATTGGAACCTAAACGAGACTATGCTAATCATCCTTGTATCTTTCATTATTATGTTTTCTTATTGCCTCCTTCCATTCACCCCAACAAGAGGCCGCCCTCCACCACCATTCGTTCGGGCCCCGTCTTCCCACCTCCCACGGGCACCAGCACCAGTGGCCGTGCCAGTTGCGGTGTCACCGCCACCGGCAGCGCCCCGTCGCGCTGCGGCCAGACCGGCAGCAGCCGGCTGCGCACGCTGCGCCCCACGCCGCCTGCGCTCCGACCGAGCGCCGACCAAGGGGTCCGGTATACATCGCCTTCGCCGGCGTTGGGAATTCTTTTCCGGGAGACCAGGCGTTCCCAGATGTTGTTAAGCACAATGGCAGCCATTTCTGAAAAACGTCATCACATGCGTGGTACGCAATCCTGCACACCTCGACCAGGCGGCTTTCTACGAACAAAACCACCCGTCGCCTTGCACCACGAGGGCCAAACTCCACCAGCCGCTAACGTCAAAGAGGTTGGGGGCGGCACCGCCCTGCGGCGTGGCGCAGCGCAGGCTAATGCGGCCTCAGCCGGAAGAGCTTTTGGACTGGGCGGCGTGTTCGGTTGGATTTGTGGGCAAGTCTTGACTCTCCAAAAATCACTGTCTGGGAGCTAAACTCACTTTAAAATACAATGAATTCACCAATCAAACTTGTTTCTTTGGTTGAACTGGAGCTATTTGCCCGGACTCTATAGGGATCTCCCCCTACCCACGCCACGCAGAATTGTCGATCACGCCAGGATTATTTTAGACGTCATAGACTTGGGGGTCAGTAAAGCCCGAACCAATTTGACCCCACGGGCCAAAAACTGAGAGTTTTGGACTCTCAGGCCAGCCAAGGATGGTCCATTGAATGGGCAAGCTTCCCCCAAGATCCCTTGAAAGACCCGATTTGGCAGTCGCGATGGGGTAGCTTTTGAACACGTGCATGAAACAGCCCACCTGCTCCAGCAAATTCTCCGGAACACATTCTTAAACAGCCTAGTCCGGAGATGAGGTTCCATAAGATTCATAAGATTCCAATAAGAATCTCGGAGGCATCTACTTTGAAGCATCTGTCTTCTCAGGTAGATAACTTTGCAATCTTCAAAGAGTCATTGAACAGAGTGACATCATGTGATCACGCTTTACCGACTTGTGCGGCACGTGGGGCAAATCTTTCCGCACCCAAGAAGACCGAGCGGCTTTCCTCGGTGGAATCCAGATGATCGACCTTGAGGAAGACCGAAGGGCTCGGTAGGCCCGGACCTGCCGGCAGACGACAGAGCGGCGACGGCGAAGGGGCGAGGCGACGGAGAGTGAGGCGAGGGTGAGGCGACGGTGGGTGGGTTCACAGAAAAGCCACCGGAGATGGCTATCCGGGCTATCCCTTCCAAGCTCCACAAAGGATCTGCAGAACCTTTTCTCGTTGGAGCTTGGTTTGATGCTTGGGTCTGACCGGAGATGGGCGCTGGTTCATGGCACCGGGCCAACCAAGTGGACCATGTGTCTGTTCTTTTTTCTTAGGTAGCCAAACTGGGTGGACCAGCGAGACCAACAGAATAGACGATGAACAAGTCTCAAAGAGTCCTAGGTGCGGTGTCTTAGTGCGGGAGGTAGCACCCCAACACTCAACCAATGTGAACAATGCACAATGCTCAACAACCAAACTCGATGGTACACTTCTCGATTGTCGCCGACCGGTGGCGAATGACCATGCACGACACGTGTGCGAAAGGCGCCCCTTTTCTGAAAGGCTCGGACCCACCCTGCGGTTAGGGTGTCATGGTGCAAACGAAGGAGGCAAACAGCTCATGTGGGGTATGTCATGACATGTCATCTCGAATCTCTCATCACCCCCATTCCTGAGTTGTTTGCTTCCTTGGCCACTTTCAAATGGCCAACGGCTTTGTTCAGCCAAAATGGCGATTGCCGTGAAAAAGGATTCTTCCTGCTCTCGAATCTGCTTCTCCAACTCCTTCTTGCGCACCTTCCTGCACGACTCAAAGCTTGGATCGTGCACAAGCTTCCAGCGCTGCCCGTGGGCTAAAAAGGTCAACAACACCTTCCTGCTAGCCCACTTCGTTAGGCTGTCAGCCAGTTGTACACCTCCGTGGACCCAACGGAATTGGGTTCCGATGGAGCGTGCCTGATCGACACTGATCGTCAGCTCATATCCAGCTCGGGAGGATCGGAGGCCGTGGAGGCTCGAGACATTCCGGGTTGCTGCGTCATAGATTCCTCGGGTGTCCATGATCACCGCTCCTTGCGACATTCCTCGTACCATCTGGTACAGGTCCTCCTTTTTCTCAAACGTCTGGCCGTGGACTTCACACCACATGGCTCTGGTGTGGAACACAAAGTCTTCGGCCGCGGTGACTGACTGCACCTCGGCTCCGTTGGAGCCCATGACCTGTCTTGGGGTCTTGCTGGAACGCCAGTGTATCAACGACACACCATGTTCTTCACCTTGGAGAATTCCAGCTGGTGCAAGGCCGCCCACTATCCCCATGGTGCTTGAGGAGTCGGGCCTATTCTTTTGGCCGGCGTCGGCCCATGCTAGCACTGCCACTTGCTGCCAGGGAACGTGCCAGGGGTGAAAGACCAGTGACTGGCTTGCCTCACGCTTCATCTCGCGGATGAGCTTGTTGGTCTTGTGGACCATCTCGACTGTGGCCCATGGCAGTTCTGAAAGCAGCAGTCCTGCGTCAGCGAGGTACTGCGGCGAGGTCTGGGAAGCTCGCCAGGCGATGGTGCCAATTGCACCTCTCAGCATGGACACTTCATTGGCCGTGGCTGCTGACTTCCTTTGTTGCATCCGGGCTGCATCGAGGTGGATCTCCTCAATCCATTTGTCGGTGTACTCCTGTTGGTCCACCCGGATTTGGAAGTCTTTCGACTGCTTGATCCTGCAGCCGGTGAACTTGAAATCATCATACTCCCACTTGCCCCATCGGTAGGCCTCTACCAGTTCTTTGAAGCATCGTTCAAACTTCTCATGGCCGTCTTTTCCTCCGATGAGCACATCATCCACGTGGATCCCTGCAATGGAGATCACGTTCTTCTCTGGCGAGTCGTCGGTGAGGACAAAGAGGCATTTGTCGCTCTTCACCTGTTGCCATCCGATTCGGCGGAGAGTGCCTGTGAGGTGGTCAAACCATGCTCTGGGTGCATGTACAAGTCCATAGAATGCTCGCCGGATTCTCAGGGGCATGACTGGGTTCTCAGGAGGTGCTCCAAAAAGCACTGCAAGCTCTGCTGGCGCCCAGATGGTCAGCTGTTGGCTCTCCATGCACTGGTCGGCCTGAAGGAAAGCCGACGTGGCATCTCCTCCGCGGATGCGGAGTCCCAGGTTGGCGCATGCCGCCAAGATCATGTTCCTGGAGAGGCGCGACATGGTTGGTGATGCCGCTTCCACCTGGGTCAAATTCGGTGCCTGGTAGCCTAGGACCACCAACCGGGCCTTTGGAGACCCGTCTGACTTGGTCGTCAAGACCCAGCGCATCTTCATCACTGATGCGGGATTCAGGCTCAGGTGTTCCTGCTCCGTGAGGCAGCGAAGAGCCTTTGACTGGAGAACTTGGGAGAGCTCTTTGCACTGCGCTTCATCGAATCCTTTCTTTTCTTCCATGGTCAACTTTGACCAGAGCTTTTCTTTGCTCTTTTCTTGGACCTTCTTGGACATCCAGGCGGTGGCCCTGTTGGGATGATTGGCCAGCCATTGCGCTTCTTTGGGCGTCACCTCAATTTCGAGCGCATAGACCGCTAGGTCTTCTTCTTCAGCCTGGTTCTTGTCCTTGTCCTTCTTTCTTCTTTTCATTTCACGGTCAGGGACCATTTCTTCTTCTGAAGAGGATGAGCTCGAGGAAGAGCTCGAACTTGACGAGGAGACCTCTTCATCGACCCGTCCGTTGTACGGGTCCCATGTGAACCGCTTTTGGTTCGGGTCCTGATGTGGTCCTTCATGACCTCCGGGGAGCTGGCAGTTCTGGACTTTACAATGGTTTCCAGAATGGTCTGCAGGTCCGCTTACTGGAGTGCCAGGGATGCCATCAACTGCATCCGGACCACGTTCACGAAGAGCCTCTTGCAGGCTATCATCAGGCATGGGGATGATTGCTCCCGATCCTGTTGTCTCATTAGCTGCCGTGTCCTCTCCCTCGAGAGGTGTGGCCTTGGCCTTCTTCTTCACGGCTTTGCTTGCACTTAATTTTGGTGCCCTCTTCTGCGGGCCACTGCTTGCTTGAGCAGATGAAATCTCAAACCAAGTTTCCCCTGTCCACCGTTCTTGGAGCAATCGGTGGGGATCCTCTGACTCTTTGTAGTCATCTTCAATCAGGACTTGGGAGGATCCTTCGATGAGGGCCTTCATGTGCGTCTTCCTCTTGCCGGTCAGTTGAGCCTCATCGATGGGTGATGATGTCACCCGTGCTGGGGAAAACATTGCCAGCCTCGGTGCGTTGTGCACCCGAATGAGCCACTTGCCTGGCTCGATACGCCATGTGTCTGGCTGGTTCTTGGCTGGCTCGAGGATCACCGTAGTTCCGGCAACGTCTGTTTGCTGCTGCTGTTCTGAGGGTGCTTCGCCGCAGATGTTGGTGTAGTGCTTGCCGGTGAAATCTCTTAGAAGGGACTCCAGTGTCACTGGCATTCGAAGGATGGCTGTCCCTTCGAGCGAAGCTTGCAGTTCTTCCCTCTTGGTGATCGCTCGAACTTGGTTTGTCTTGGCCTTGACGATGTTGGATCCTGTGGCCATCCAAACTGTTGTGCCTTCTTGGATGAGCACTCGCAAAGGACCCATCCAGTTGCCACCCACGCGTCCAGGACGCATCTTCTGCCGCCAAACCATCACCAGTGCACCGGGGTTGTACTTTGCAGGAGGCCTAGTGGTGGCATTGGAAAGCTTGCTCATGCGGATCTTTGCGGACTCGAGCTCGAATGCTGCTTTGGCTCGTGCCTTCAGCTTGAGCATTCCTTCGAAGGCTTTCTTGGGGTCCATGCCAACTGGAAGAGCTTCTTCTGGTGGATCAGCTCCCCTGGTCCATTGGAATGGGCTGAATCCATTGGGGCCAGTTGTCTTGTTGTGGGCATGGACGGAAAGGTCCATCAAGGCCTCGATGTCGAGAGCTGATGTCTCTTTCTTCAGGCGAGACAATGTGGCCTTCAGGAGGCCAATGCAGCCTTCTTCTGCTCCAAGCAGCCAGTGTGCTTCTGCAGGGGTGTTCATCAACCCGATGCCGCTTCGGCCCATGAAGTCGATCACCTCAGAGGACGTGTAGTACGTCGCCGGATCTGAAATGATCCACTTTGGCGTTGGGTTGTGTTGGAGCCATTTGCCAAAGGACTTCAGGACATCTGCTGCTTTGGGCTCCCAATTGCGAACTTGCCCGCCATAGATCTTCAGCAGGTCGACTTGGGCCAGGCCGCTTGCCCTATCCCGCCAAAGAATGAATTTGGCCTTTTGGGCTTCTTGGGATTCATGGTGATTGAACTCCACTTCAAACACGTCCGTCCCGACTTGCTCAAATAGAGCTGGAAGTTCACCTGTACTTGCAGGCGGAGCTGGCCGGGGCTTCTTTGCTTCGATGCATTCACTGCACCGGAGTTCACCTGCTAAGGCCACTGCCCAAGGAGGGGCGTTGCGGGCCCGTAGGAGCTGCTGCAAGTTTGCCATGGAAGGATGACCTGATGCTCGGTGGATACGGAGCATGGTCTGCTTGATTTGCTCCAGTCTTTTGCCTGTGGGCCTTTCTTCAGGATATCGCTGTCTCGTCAGGGCCAGGATGGAAGGCTCATCTTGTCTTGCTTGACCTTCCCAGCTTTGTTGGGATTCATCCTCATCAACTCCCAGAAGATGGATTTGCACGTCCTTGGAGAGGGAGACATTGGCCTTGTCTTCATAGGCCGTCCATGTGCCGATGATGGCCTTCACAGCCGCTTTCACCATAGCTGCGGGGTAGTAGGAGCTTGCCTGAGCGACATGCCCACGGCACTCCAGGTGTTCAGGGTGACCTGGACACTTCTTCTGAAGGGCCAACCATAGGCCTCGATTGGACGTCATGACTGTCCAGCCCTTCTTCACTGGGATGCCCTTGAAGGTGAGGCCGTATGCGCAACCGTGGAGTCGGCACCAGAACAATGGTCTTCCAATGGCTCTCATCTTGTCTTCAAGGCGTTTGATCGCCCTTGATCTCCAGCCCTTTGCTGCTCCGGTTGGCCATTCCCAGGCGAAGTCGTTCTCGTCATCCAGGGTCTGGCAGATTGCTTGGCTCACCTCATCAGCGCGCTTGAGATCACGCTGCTGCCGCTTCTCGAAGTTTGCTTGTTCCTCAGGAGTACGAGGAGTGAGGTGAGTGAGGGATGACAACCTGGTGCATGGGAGGCTCACCCATGTCATCTTGGGCTTCAGCTGCTTCATGCTGGTGGTCAGCTTTTCTGTGCCAGACTTCTTGTCGAGGTCGAAGCCCTCCAGATAGTTCACTCTCTGGATTGAGTAGCCATTTGCTTCCATCTCAGTGCTGAGTGCACTCGTGGCTGAGCATGCCACTTCCATGAAGTCCACCGTTCCAGCCATCTGGGTGAGCAATGACTGCATTGGGGCCATGATCATCGCCCCAAGGATGGCTGCCTTCATGGACATCTTCTTGGCCAGAGATGGAGGCACTATGTTCTTGCTGCTTGTCTGGCTCTTGTTGTAGGCCCATGCCGTTGGGCTTGTGCTCCAACTCTCCGTGGGATGCCCGTGCGTGTCCCGGAGAGTCATATGGCTGGGTTCAGCCATCAGGTTCGTGGTGTGTGTCGTGTTGCTCGTTGAGCACGTGGTGCATGCCGTGTTGCCGTAGTGGCCCGTGGTGCTGCTCGTGTGGATGCTTGCATCCTGCTGTGGATTGAGACCACGTGAGGTCTTTGCCGTGCTGCCTTCCGCTGCTGCTGAACCGCTTTCGGAGCCCATACCAGCTCCAAGGCCACGACTCTGCAGCCTGGTCAGCCTTTCTCGCAGGCCCTTCAGGGATCGCCAGATGCCTTGCCCTTCTCCGTCGGGGCTTCCCATTCTTCCTCCTCCGAGTGGATCATCACCACTTCCGGGCCGTCCGGAATCATCTGTGGCGTGCCCTTCGTGACATCCAGCTCCTTCTCCTTCTTGGCGGCCAGGTAGCCCTTGATTGCCATCTCCTTGATCTCCTTCTCCAACGGGCCTTCGGGCAGAACGCCCTTCTTCTGGCTGGCCTTCTTGGGTTCCGGACTTGATGGAACCTCGCTCGGGCTCGATCGGGCAGCACTTGATGGAGCCTTGGTCGATGGAGTCATTGGCACTCCATCCATTCGGCCAAACTTCTCCAGCCTCTGGTGGTACTCGTCCAAGGTCATGTTCAGCTGGAGGGGCGTTGGAATGCCCATCTGAAGCATCTTGCCTTTGATCTCCATCATCTTGCCATTCACCACGTCCATCGTGACCTCGCTGGCTTCCATGCTCTTCTCGATGTCGGCCAGTGCCAGCCGAATGATCTGCGGGTCTGGACCCATCTGCCTCGTGCCACCGTGCCCGGCTTTCTTCGTCTGGTACTCCAGGCGAATCCCGCACTTGAGGCATACCACCCAAGTGGCATATTGGTTCTGCCTCGTCTTGCCCTTGTGCTGGCCGTAGCATGGAAAGCCGCTCTGTCTTGGGTCGTCGATCGCTGCTGCGGCCTTGCTCGAGGCCATGCCGTTCACGAGTTGCTGACAGCCTTTGAGCCAAGTTCTCCAAACGATCGGAGAGCTTGAGAGGTGAGTGCATCACAAACAAACTCTGAACTGCGGTGGTCGAACTCACGGGAGGCAACTGCTCGCTCAACTTCCAAAAAACATTCAAATCAATCTCCGATTCAACTTGAAATGGTGGGGATGCCAAATCAATGGTGAGGTGACCTGAACTCAAAGCTTCCATTTGCACTGCATTCACAATGTTTCCACTGCAAGTTGTCCCGGGTTCAGATGGTTCCGGGGCAAACAAAAACAAACCATTCGAATACGACAGCAATGCTCTCTTTGCTCGCAATGTCTTGGCTCCCAACAGTGGCGGCGTTGTTGCCCCCAAATCTCCTAGCACGTAAAAATTGAGAGCGCCCAGCGATGTATTGTGCAGTACAACATTGCTCAATGCTCTGCTCTTGTGTCCATTGCCGAATCTGAACACTGGGAGGCTGTCATGGGAAACCTCGTGAACAAAATGCCCACTGCTCACCATCTCTTCCAAACACGCAATGCCCACAGCGTTTTCCGTCGCTCCAGTGTCGATGACTGCTCTTGTTGAGCTTCGAGACCGTTGGGGAAATTCGTCCCAGCGAACATTCACATAGAGCTCCGTGAAAAATGCTTTGCCACCCTTGCCTTTCGGTGATTTTCCACCTTTGCCAGACTTGCTCTTGCCTTTGCCGAATCCTTTTCCTCCTTTGGAGAATCGGTCAGGGCATTGGCGATAGCTATGTCCAGGGCGACCGCATAGAAAACATGGTCCGAAGGATCCTTTGTTGCTCGATGTCTTCCCTTTGCCTGAGCCAGGTCCAGAAGACGACTTGCTTTTGCCTTTGTTGCCACTGATGCCCTTGCCACTGCTCGACTCTGGCGAGTAGTAGCCACGGGCAGCGCGAACTTGCTTCACTGCATTGCGGGCTTCCTCCAAAGTCCGAGCTGCCTCATTTGCAAGGGCGAAGGCCTCTTGGTATTGACGCTCCTCAGGGATCTCACTCTCCTCGATGGGATTCAGCTCTTCTTCATTGGGCCACCACGAGTCGTCGTAGCCCCATTCATCTTCTTCCCATCCATCATACCAGAAGCTATTGGGCTCATCTTCCCACTGATCCCACGAAGTGGGACTCCATTCGTTCCAATCCAGCTCCAACTCCTCTTGCTCGGGCTCCCACTCACCATCAGCCCACCAAGCCTTTGCACTGCGGCCACGATCATGAAGCTGAGATCGCTCACTTTCCTCAGCGTACAGGGTTCGCAGAGCTTGACGGATGGCATAGTAGTGGGTGCTGTTTTGTGTCTGAACCAAAACTGCTTGCCGCTCGCTTTGACTGAGTTTTGCAGCCTTCATCAACCTGTATCCACGTAGTTCGTCCTCAAAAAAATTGGCCAACGTGTTCGACCCAGAACCACCACCACTGCCCAATGTAACGGTCGGTACCGTATCCGGTGGAAACTCACGCTGTTCGGACGCGCGCCTCTGAGCTCCAGCGACGGGAGATTGGGACGGAGTGGATGGGGGATCCATCCTGGCAGGTCCAGGTGTCACGACATGGCTGAGGGCTCGGTCAGCCCTTGCTCTCACTAGGCTTTGTTGAAGGTCTTGGAACATCTCTTCTTCCTTGACAATGAGCTGAGCCATTGTTTCGTTGGGACCTTTGCGGAGATGGTGCCAACGCTCCAGTTTGCCAAAGCTGTCGGGAATTGGAAGTTGCTGGAGTGGACTCGCTCTCAACACATTCAGAAGACGGGTCATTCCGTCGTCATCTGTGTAGTCATCGGGGTCGAGGTGCTTGACGACGCTGCGGGCAGCGCCCGACAATGACTGCCAGATCTTCGGTGCAGCTTGGGATTGCTCTGAAGGCTTCAATGACTTTTGAAGCCACTTGCATGCAACAACAAATGTATCAAATGTCGAAGCGTTGCCGTCCCAGCACGGCACACCTGCAGCCGTCGTAGTCATCCAGCCCCTGGAGCCCCCAGGGGCTCCGCTACCATGCGGGAGGTAGCACCCCAACACTCAACCAATGTGAACAATGCACAATGCTCAACAACCAAACTCGATGGTACACTTCTCGATTGTCGCCGACCGGTGGCGAATGACCATGCACGACACGTGTGCGAAAGGCGCCCCTTTTCTGAAAGGCTCGGACCCACCCTGCGGTTAGGGTGTCATGGTGCAAACGAAGGAGGCAAACAGCTCATGTGGGGTATGTCATGACATGTCATCTCGAATCTCTCACTTAGGGATAGAAGAGAGCCTGACCTACGAGACATGACATGGTCAACCTACCAAGGTGAAAGGGACACCAAATCCTGCCTTGGATGCGTCGGGCGACCGAAAGCCCCACATATCGTGGTGGTGACTCCATGCCCTCGGTCCTCATACCATCTCATACCCCCCATATACCAACCTGTCAGTGGCATTAGTCCGTACTAAGTCATACCCCCCAAAAACACCAACTCCAAACACTCCAGAGACCACCACAGTACCACTATCTCAGCCACCAGCCGCTGAAAAAAAAAGAAAAAAAACACGCATGCCTTTGAAGTCCCGAAAGCTCCTACTGCCCCACCATCCTCACCCGGTTTGTCCAACGGACCACCCGGTGGAGACGCAGCGCAGCGCACCCGTGGGACGCTCGCGTCACGCTGGGAGCGGCGTGCGTCACGCTCGGAGCGTCGGTGTTCCGAACCAGGTGGAACGGTGTTGAGCGAAACCACGCAGTGAAAAGCCCCCAAACGGAAGACATGGGCAGAAGTGAATCCATGTTCCATGTGAATCCATGTGATGTCTGAGTGCCAAACAAATTCTTCCGGTCCCCGGTCCCGCCCAATCCCCCTGGTTTCTGAAACACGGAAGCTCCCGCGGCGCAGGCGTCTTCCCTGCGCGACGAGCCTATGCCATTCTCTCCATCCCACCGTCCTGCGCCGCGCCGTTCCTTCGCCTCGCCTGCGCCTCGAAACTCGCAGTCGATCCTCCGCGGACTGCGCGCACCACTGCGCGTGGCGACCGTGGCCTGAGGGACCGGACGAAGGGGGAGGCCTGATTGGATGGTGATTGGATGAGAATAACATATATATATATATAGGTCCTTTTTTTGGGGGGGGGGTTCTAGAAACTACTCGAACTGGGTGGTGTTGGTGTAGCTTTTGGGGACGGGATTTAGAAGGTCATAGTCGTGGTCATGTGCAGTTGCAACATGGAACATGGGCCTTCAAACTACAGTAGTCTCACCTACTGAGAGTCCTTTCCAGCGTGCGAGCCCTTTGTGGAATCACCATGTGGAGATTTAAGAGCACATGGAGTCATGGAGTAAGTGAATCAAAGAAACTACACTCTGCTTTTGGACGTCATCAGAGTCTTTGACTGCGCTTCTTCGAAAGAGTTCTGATGTCCAATGACCAAGTGAGTACTTGAGCATGCAAGAGCATGCGTGTGAATCAGACGCATTCATGACCTGAGGCGGCAAACCAATGTGAAAATAGCGTGAAAAAGGCTCCGAACTCCAACCACCAGCGGCATCCTCTCCATCTACCAGGACTCGAACAACCGATCGCCTGGTGCGAGGCGAGGCCATGCCTTAAGAGGTGGGGCCATCGGGCCATCTGGTGCCGGTAGATGGAGCATGAAGTACCCCCCAAGGACCCTGCGCCTTTGGCTCTCCCTTTGGCTCTCCCTCCCATTGCCCTGCTGCTCTTGGCACTTCTTAGGTGCCCGAAACACCGAAAAAGGAACGAGAAAAAAACCCTTTCGCCTCGCACAGCGGGGGCACCCCCGTCGTCTCCGGCGTCTCCGCCGGCGTCGAGGTCGGACCCGGGGGCAGCTGCCACGCGAGGAGCGGAGCGGCGGTGAGCAAGAGGCCTCCGCGGGCGGGGTCCCGCGGATCGGAGCAACGGAGTGGAGTGGAGTTCCACGGGTTACTTCTGGAACTCCACTTTCAGTGTGAAACAACCAACCAATACTAGTCAACCAAGCAACTAGTGTATCAACCAACCAAGAACTGTTTCTTCAAAGTGACCGAACTTCATCACCTGGTTGGTTTGAGGTCACAGAAAAGCCTCCTAGATCCTCCTAGGTCACGAAAAGGAACACCTTCAAGAGGTCACTAACATGATCCCCTCTCTTTCCTCCACCAACCAACGAGTCAAAGGCCATCCCGAGCGAACCACTCGTCCTCGACGAGCGAACACTCGTCGCCGACTCGTCGCACAAAGCCGGACATCGGCGTCGGATGGATCTCCGGGGACAGGTCTCGAGCAACGATCTGCCCCGAATCCTTGGGTCAAACATCTACCCAGACACGACCCGGACCTGGGACTGCCATAGGACTGCCGAGAAGCGGCCAGGGGTGGTGACCGGGGGGTCTTTCTGGGGCGGCAGTCCTATGGCAGTCCCAGACAGGTCGTGTCTGGGCTAAAAATAAGAAACATCCAACCCAGACGCGACCCTGGACCCTCGGTTCAGTAGGGGCCGGACCCGAATCCTTGGGTCAAAGGTCCGGACCTTCTCACCAAACCCTAGGGTTTGGTTCGGGACCAGTCGGGCGTCGTTCACGGAGCGTCTGGGTGAAAGACAACAAGCTACGAACGTAGCTTGAAGTTACGCACGCTTGGAGGCCATTGCTAGTTCTCTTGGAGGCCATTACCACGTTCGTAGCTTCTTGTTACTAGTAGTAATGGCCTCCAACCTACTAGCGATGGCATGACATGACCAATTTTGGGGGGCAGGGCTTCTGGAACCATACGTAGACCACACGGCTGTCATGTCGTCGTCATGTCACGTGACTCCGTAGAGCTCACAGTCAGGCTACAACCTGGAACCCCAGTCCCAACCAGAAAGAAATGGATGTTTCCCCAGTCTCAACCATTTCCTATGTAAAGGATTTCAAGCAAGCCATATTGGAACAACCACTTGTTTCTGGTTGTGTGGGTTTCCAGGAATATGATACAATGACTAAACAGCATCCTCGAGCACAATTTGTTGCACATGTCGTGTTGATGGTTGATTGACAGAACCCCCCTTAGCAGAATGGTATTTCAATGGACTTTTTACATCTCCATGTGGAGAGTCTCATTGGTTCTGCCGTCAACACCTGTACTATATATGTTTGGGGTGTAGGCTATAGGCTTTGACCACCTCGTAGCACCGACTTCGCCCCGACCGCACCACATCCGGCGCAAGAGGCGGCACCACATAGCCCCCAAGAGAGCCCAACAGTGAAACTATATGTGAAACTCAATGTCTGATTGAGACCACACACCTTACAAGTCCAGGGCGGCACACTCACATCTGGGCGGCACCACATACCCCCGTGTTTCAGCAGGAAGCATGAAGGACTCGACATGAGGACGGCACCCGGGTCGACCAGACATCTTCGTGTGGCGCACGATCCGGTCGTCTCGACCCGACGCGGGCGGCGGTCCGACTTGCTCCGACCCGTCGGGTGCGTCGCGCCGTGCTGCGGCCGAGCCAAAGGCGCGTGCGTCGCTGCCCTTCACAGACCTGGATCTTCCAACGTTGGCAGGTAATTGCTGCCTGTTCATCCATACGGCAAGCCATAGTTGGCAGAAATTCCGCGGAAGATACAGGTATACGAGTAGGGTCACTGATTTGGTCATGTTCCATCATGTCCCTCCTTTTCTCTTCGATCGATGCTGGCTCTCGACGTCTGATTCTTTGCGCCGTTCGAAATGCCAGAACACCAAAAGCACGCGGAGCTCCATCCCAGCCGCAGATCCATCCCACGGCTCCATCCCAGCTCCCTCCTCATCCATCCCAGCTGCCTCCAGCGGCTCCCAGGTCCAGTTGCAGATCACTCAGCCGCACGTCCAAGTACAGAGGCGCCACGGCCTCCCCCGACGACGGGCGCCACGAAAATGTCCACGCAGGGCGAGATCGGCTCCGCGCAGGGCGAGGAGAGAGTTGGAATGGAGATCGCTTCGATGCGAGACGGTGCGGACGAATGAGAACAGCCCTAAGAATCAAGGACCCTCAAAGGTGAAGGTTTTGAGGGTCCAAACCCCTGCTATGCAGGGTCCAAACCCTCCATAGGAGGGTCCAATGATGCTTAGGGAGAACTCTTTTGGTGATCAGAAGTGGAATCCATCGGTGGCAGACGTTCCCTTCCACCGAAGACCAGATTCATCGGGTTGCCTTTGAGCAGACCTTTGAGCCAAGCCTTTTGGAAGCCTCCCCAGAACCCCGCCTGAGCGGTGCTGGTGCCGCTCACGGCCCAGAAGCCCGGCGGCGTCAGGTCCCAGCGCGCCAGGCGCCGCGCGCCGCGGCCCCCCGCCCAGAGGCGGGCGACACCTCTGGGCGACAGTTCCGGACAGTGTTCGGGTCGAGGGAGGGTGGGATTCTTTTGGAAAGGTCACGGTAGAAAGGGAGGAAGTGTTCGAAATACGGTCAGATGGGGCTGGGTGATGGGTTGGTGCTGTTCCATGTTGGTTCATTTGGAAGAGGATTTATCTACAAGGAACTTGCAACTAGTATGCTATATAGAGTAGAAACGTGGCAAAGGTCAAACTCCCAAAGTGTGTTCGTGTTGGTGACTCTTTTTGTTTGAACGAAGGTCCTAATATGAGAACAAATTCCGTTTGTTTGAAGATATGCTCTTCTGTTCGAAACGGATCTCTTTCACTGTCCATGTCTGTTCAAGGAGACATGCGCATGCAGCCAGAACGGTCCATACACCTCTGGAGGAAGGTTCCTAATCCATCATACGTTGGACCCATGGCGCAATCGAAAAGACTACCAGAACATGGCCCAGAACAGTTGCCACCATCACCCGCCCACCAGTCTAACCCCTTCAAAAGCAAGCGAATTACCAGCCTTGAAGGATCACCCATGAACTCAAGCATACTGTCCACCATTGGACCACTCACCGCTCCAACCGCCGTCGTCCCATCCCGGCCTAGGCCGGCGCCCGGCAGCAGCGTCAAGGCCGTGGCAGCGAAGGGCAGCGACAAGCTTTGCAGCGCCTCAGCGGCGCACGGCTCGGCGTTCGGCGCACGGCTCGGCGTTCGGCGCCTCGTCGGAGCGGTGCCAAGACATCCTTCGACGCGGCGCCAAGTCGCGAAGGGTGCGGGCTCCAATGGGTGCGGGTTTTTGGGACGAGTTTGGGTGGAGGGGAACGAAGGAATTGGGCACCTGGGGTTTTTTCGGACCCGAAACAGGGCATCCAACGAAAAAGCGGTGTGATGTGAAGCCTCCCGGAATGGAATTGTCCAAGGAGGTGAATTGCAGAATACCATTTAGAGAAAGTGAGTGCTTCAAGGTGTCTATGCATTACATATTCTGAAAAATGAGCTCTGGATCTCAAAGCAAGATGATATTTAAGTGACTTGTGGGTTGAAGAGATGGCGTTGAACTGCTGGATTTTCCCTCAGATGGAGACGTCTCTCCTCCTCTGAGTGGACTTTCCCGCTCCGACGAGTGGAAGGGACATCATACTCCGTGCGAACGAACCCAACAAAAGTCTTGCCATCCAGCAGAACATGCATATGTTGCATGATATGTAATGTTTGATGTACCCAGTTTTGATCTATAGTTTTCAAAACCATGAAGACGAAGGAAAGTTCAGCAGCAGGATCAACTTCATGAAACAAAAATTGAAGTCATGTTTGCCAGGTGCCACTCATTTTGGACAACAACTGCAGATGCTGGATCCTTCGTGGTGGCTGCCTGACCTGTGAAATCTGGTGGCTCAAACCAATAAGTTCTTGGGGGGGAAGAACATTGCCCCCAAGGATGTTTAAGTGTGACTCTTTGCGCGTTTTTGTCCGCAATGGTTTTATGTATGTGTTCGCTTCTGGTGTCCAACTGCTTGAGAAAACCCGCTGCTTTTGGACGTGAACAAAAGTAGGTCGACCGCTGACCGGTCGAAGACGAGACGCGCCCGTCTCCGTCGACCTGACCTTTTGACCCAGTGGCCGTGAGGTGTCCCAAGGTGTCGCCTGGAACGGCAAGCAGAACGGCAAATGGCTTGCATGAAAAAGTCACAAAAGAAATTCAAATTAAGCCGTTTGGGTATCCTATCATCAATAGTTATTAATGTTGGACTGTTACAGCCAGTTGGACAAACCCAATATAAAATTAAGAAACGAAATCAGGCCCAACAAGTTGTGTCTCTACCTGGCCAGAACCCTGTGGCACCTGGTATGCAAATTCTCTGTGATGGAAAGCACAAAGAGTAGGGGCAATAAATCTGAATGTCGCCTGCCCCACCACTCAAATTAAACATAAGCTGCGTCCCTTCTTCTCTTTGCGAACCATGGCAAGTTCAGGAGTGGCCTGTCGTTTGGCTCTCCAAAGAGTATTGCATCGCTTTGTCCAGCGTGTCTTGCCGACAAGAGGGGTCCCTGTGTGGACGGCCCACCAACCCGAACGGCTCCGACCCTCAGAGGCCGTGGGGTTTGGATCGAACTTCGTCCGAAGGAAACACCCCTTTCATGATGGTGTGCAGCTCGATGGTGTGCAGGCACACATGGTGGCCGAGACCCCCGTTGCAGAATCAAACCAAAGGGCGGGGAAGCAACAGGAACATGGATCAGATCAACAGTTGCGTGTCCTCTTGGCCTGCACACATCAACCTTATGTCTGGTTTCAGTGTTTGGGCCAGTTCGCTCAGCAATTTTTTGTTTCTTTTTCGCAAGAGGCTTTGGATGAAAAGGCTTCTTGGCAAGAGGCTTTAGGTGAAAACTATTTGGCCCCCCCTTCTTCTCAATGATCAGCACGACACCCCTGCTCACATAGGATCGGACAGTCCGAAACCAACCCTGGCAGAGCTCGAGAGCTGTCAAAGGATTCAACAGCTCGCAAGCAAATGCGCGTACTGAATACACTAACTAACTATATCCCTAGAAGTCCAAAGACTATATTTTGACCGGCTGAAGTAAAGGAAGTTCCCGAAATCAGTTCCCCTAAAGACCATTCTTTTTATAGTCTTTGACTCCCAGGGATATAATCATACATAGAATCCAAATGAATCCAATTGAGGAGATGCGCAAAAGGGGCCCCGAAGCATATCCTCAAAGGCAAAGAAACGCATCGCCAAGCCAGCACAAACATATTCCATGGAAACATGAAGATGATCACAGATCCTTACTACGTACCATCCAGACCTTCCTCCCTTCCTTCTCGCCCTGGCCCCCCTGGCCCCCCTGGCACCCTGCTTGCTCGCCTGTGGCCAGGACCAACAGCCTGCCGTTGCCCGTATCCAACACGTAGACCCGGTAGCCATCGCCCACCGCCACCGCCCTCGGGCTGCTCAACCGTGCCAGGTCGGAGCCCGCAAAGCCTCCGGCGGCGGCAGCTGCACGGTGGGCGGCGTGGAGTCCAGGTGGGCGGGTGAGGTGAAGGAAGGCAGATTCAGAAGGTGTGGGAAGTTGGGGGGGGAGGCAAGTGTCCCACTTGGAGTGGTTCAAACCTTGGAAGTGGGGAAGTGCACATTCCGAAGGTTTGGGCATGTGTCCAACTTGGACCCCTTTTTTGGACCACTGACCCATAGGATTTGGACAGCTTCGAGGAAAAACACGGTAGCTCCGCCGGGAATCAACTCCAAAAGCCTGCCCATGTCAGGGTGTTTTGGTTCCATCAAGGAGTGTAAAGGAGTGCATCAAAAGCCTAACTACCAGGACCCTCCAGTCGGGGTGGTTAATGGACACTCCACAGCTAAAGGGCATTAAGGGGGCTATAAATAGACACCCCCGAGAGGACCTATACCAGGACCCGGTCGGTTGACATGCTTCTTTGCACCAGCAGTTCCATGTCGGGCTGCTTCATTCATGGAGAAACGTCGCGACACTTGGGCGCGCCTCTCGCATCACATGACCTACGGCCCTACGGATGAAACGCGCCACCAGCTCGTCACCGACACCTGATCTCAGAGGTTCCCGGAACGCCCCCACCGGCCCCAGATCGACTCTATGCCCGTTCCTCCAGTCGTACCGAACCTGAGGTTCGGTGGGACTGGGGTGGGGTGCCAGGAGGCTCCAGTCGTAGCGTCATCGAACCGGAGGGTTCGGTACGAGGCTGTTGGTGTAGGGATCCGTCGGTCGTCCCGTCTTCGTGACCAGACCGACTCAGGGGGGAGATCGGGCGCCCGCACGGGGTCCAACCGCCCGCGGATGGGCGGATGGGCGGATGGACCCCGGGCGATTGATCCACCCGTCTAGGGAGATCCAGGGAAGGTAAGTGGAACAACTGGACCCGGAGCTGGCTGGCACGTATGTCTCTGTCTCAGTGTCTCCACCTGAAACCTGAGGGTGCCCGTGGATATGTCCAGGGAACTTTTTGAATACCAGGAGTTGAAGACGAAGAAGAAAACCTTCCAGGTTCTTCGGGCGAGATCCCGCATTGAAACATCACAGAGATGTGCCAACAGAGCCGCCAAAACATCTGTCCTTTGTGTTCTGCAGTGGTTGGGAAGAGACCTACCCTCCAAGAAGAAGCACCCATATCTTCGCCAAGCACACACATTACCCAGACACGACCTGTCTGGGACTGCCATATATGCCGCCCCATTGACCTCCCAAAGCCAAAACCACCCCAATGTAGGAGTCCCATGGAGTGTCTGGCTTATATATGCCATCTAAACGATGCCCCCGTCTCCGTGGGTTCTGTCCACGAACCGCCCAGGATACCCCCTGCTCTCTCTGTGTTCCGTTCCCACCACCCGTCCCACCACCGCCGCCTGACTCTCCAAAGTGCGTGCGGTAGCGCAGCCCCTGGACCTCCAGCTGCAGCAGCCGATGGTTCCCCGTGTCCACCACGTAGAGGCCTGGGTTTCCCGGCCCGCACCGGTCCGACGTCCAGCCGTCCAACAAGGACCGAGCCGAGCTGCCGAGCTGCCGAGGTCCAACGAGGTGAGGTTTCCAAGGTCGAAGGGATGTTTACCATAGTTTGACTGGCTCGGACTGGCCCTGTAGGGTCATGGGTGGGTGGAAAGTTGAAGTTTCTCCCTCACGTGGAGTTTGGGAGCTTCCTCAAGCACCGCAGGCGAGAATTCTGGGGGAAAAAAATGGATTTGCAGTGCCTTTCCTTGCCTTTCCTCAAGGTCTTCAGACCACCTGCTTGGACCAATACACTCTGACTGTCCTGTCCACAACAAAGCTTAGAACGTGCAACAAACCGTCGTTTTCCATGTCTCGGGCGCCACTTCCATCCAAAAGGCTCTGGCCAACGACCGGTCTTTACTGGACCGGCGCCTTCCTTCAAACGGGACGCCACGTCTGACGGACCCAGTCCCCGCCGCAGCCGCGCTGGCTCCACCAAGCCGAGCCACAGGGCTCCGGCAGCGCGGCATAGGCCACGGCGCTGGGGGAGGAGAGGCCGCCCGTGTCCTCAGCGGCACCACGACGGAGGGGGAGGGGAGGCCGGGTAGGAGGGTGTCCACATCCCAAAGCGGCCAAAGAGAACCAAAAGACGAATTGGTGAGCTGGATGTTCAGGTCATTATAACAACTATATGACTATATGTGCCCACCGCACTAGCAACTCTTCCCAAAGTTGGTGAGTGGGTTGCGCCTCATGTGGATCTTCCGAGCACCACGGCCCGCCGCCCGGCGGGGGCCGGGCCGTTGAACGGAGGCGTCGTCGACTGGGGAGGAGAATGGGTCCGTCCCCTTTCGGAACAAGGCCTGGTCGATCGACTGGGGAAACCCCCCTTGGCCAACAGTTAGAGGATGTTAAGAGAGGTTGAACAGACCTATAGCCTATCCCATATGTACCACTACAGGGTCTTATATGGTCTCTCAACCTCTCTTGGATGTTAAGAGGCCTGCAAAAAGACCTGCAAGCTCTGGTGAAAACAAGAGCCTGCAAGGTTCTTTCTCCTGGCCTGTGCCACAGCAAGCCACTGACTCCGCGACAAGTTCAATGAACCACTACCAGCACCACCACCGAAAGGGTGTCCATTAATAGCCCCTTAGAGGTTAAGGGGTGTCCATTAACCACCCCTTGGGGGTCCTGGTACATGAATTTCGTTAAGGAGTTCAATTGGTCGATGCGCGTTTCATCCCAAACTCATGCAACCTCACATGCTTATGAGCTAGCCAGCAGGTGAATTCTTGAGTACCACTATTAAAATAGCGGTCTTCATATATATATAATTATATATATATATATGAGAGAAAAGTAATTAGGTCCCCACTACGAATCTATTGGAAAGCATTGTCCATCTATTTGGGGACCACTATCCAAGTGGTGTTCATACTCGAACGTCCACGCTGTCAGGCTGAAGGAGCTCCAAGGCAACCGCGTCCACGCTCCGCGTCCACGCTCCGCTCCTCTCGGTGACGGCCACCAGACACCCACCAACCCATCTGGTGTGTCAGACCCAGCCGTCCATTCAGACCCAAGCCTTGGGCATCGTCTGGAAGCGATGTCCAAACAAAAAGAACGGATGTTCAATGCATTCGATCCAAAGGCTCAAATCCCGAAAAGGGGCCAACCATCTCCTCAAAAGAACGGCCCTCCACATGCGGAAACTCCTCTTTTCCCCAGATCTGAGAAAAAGAAAGGAAAAAACATAAGCACGACAAAGACACACAAATCAGCCCAGCCATCCCTCCCGACTCCTCTTCCCCTCACACCGTTGTTTGAACTCTCCCCTTCTGCCAGTCCCCTGTGTTTCCCGTCCACGTCGGTGTCCCCCAAGCGGCCGAGGTCGCCAGGTAGCCCACCTCGATGGGACCTCCATGGCCGTCCCAGCGGGACGGTGAATTCGCCGCGTGGGACACGTGAACTCCGCGTGGGACGCATTCCGCGAGGCAGTGCCGCGCGGGGCCCAAAAACGGCTCCAGTGAGAGGAAGTCTGTTCCTTCTGGGGGGAGAAGGGAAGTCTGTTCTGCCCCAGAAAACACCCCTGGACCCTGGTATACGTCGCACTGACGTAAAAGGAATGTCCGGTGGAAAGGAGGATCTGAAAGTCCCGGTGTTTGGGAAGAACCGGTCGCCCTGTTTGGAGCCCAACGAACAGAAAATGGCCGTGTCTCATGTCGTTGCTTGTTACGCTTGTGGAACATCTGTTTCTTTTCTTTGGCTTTCTTCGGCCGACCGGTTTTCGGGTCTGGTCTGGTATGGCCATGGGCCCCCTTTCTCTTTTAGGTTTTTTTTTTTGGGTGAAGGACTCCTTATCTCCTTTGCCCCACCCGCTTCGCTCGCGCGACCTGGGTTTCGCTCCTCCGCTCCGTTTGGGCCTGCGACGCGGCGCCCGAAGATGGACACCAAGGCGAAGCCGAGCGGAGCCTCACGCGGTGGACGTCCGGGCGGAGCCTGCGCTCCTCCATGAACCTAATACCCGGCTGAAGTCCAGTTCGACGATATTTTGGACCGACTGAAGTGTTCAGGAAATTCCTGATTTGGGGTCACCTAGTCAGACCATTCTTTGTATAGTCTTTCGCTCCCGGTCCCAGGGTGTACTTTTCCCATCTTTGGCCAACATCCAGTGTCAAACGTGTTCAACCCACTAAGCTGAAGACTCGGATTTCAGCTGCGGTCATCCTTTCCAAATGTTCTCGCTGCTGTGCATCTTGACATTCCAAGCGCTTCGCGAACTCCAGCATTCATGATCCACCCCGTGGTAGGCGGTTCCATATGCACCTGCACCAAGTGATCGGTCTTGAGAGAAGTTGTTGGTGCACCTGGCAATGTAAGCATAATCTGCAAAGCTTTGCTGCCAAATGTGACAGTCGCAGCCGCAGGTTGGACTGGCCGCACTGGTCTTGCCTCTGGTCTTGCCACTGGTGGGGACGGTGAAGCTAAATTCACAGCTGGGGAAGGTGCATCAGCTTCTGCCAACGAGAGAGCGATCGCCAGATCCATCTCTTCTTGTTCACTCCTTGGACGTCTGCATTTGACGTCCATGCGGAGTTCTGACTGCAAGTGCAGGTTCAGGAAAGTCTTGCCAGGGTTCATCAGCAAAGCCAGAGTTTGTGTCCTGCGTAAGCTGGTGGAGTGAGTTCAGAGCTTTTCCAGCACCCGACTCTACAGGTCTCCGACATGGTGGCTGAAATGGAGACTTCAAATAGGCAGGTGGAGACCTGTAGAGGTGCTGGTGCTGGTTGATCTGTTCGAGTGCTCCATCATGTTCCATCTATCTATCTACTTCAGCCGGCGCCTTCTTTGAGACCTTTTTGTGGGTTCAACTCCCAGCCGTTCCGTGTTCCGCGTTCCGCCTGCGTCGCCAAACGCGACCACAAGCCCGAAGGCGGAACCGGTGTATACCGATGGCTGACCCTGATGGGGCCGATGGATGACGTTTGTGGCTTTAAACAGAACGGCTAGCCAATGAAGATCCCGCTCCGGGGCGACATGGAACATTCCGAACTCGCAGATTGGACTGGCTGAAGCACTTGACCCTCTAAAGAGCCTCACCTCCCAAAGCAGGGGAGGCCACCACCCTGCATCCGCTGCGCTGGAGGAGCCTCCCCGTCTGCGCGACCAGCTCTTAGTTACCGGAGCCCGCTGCGATGAGCCTGTACGTAAGCATGCCCTACAGGTCAGTCGGACCTCATTTCCCAGACACTCCATGGAGCTGCCATATATGCCTACATTGGGGTGGTTTGGGGGGTCAATGTAAGCATATATCATGTATGGCATACATGGAGTGTCTGGGTTTTACATTGGAGTTGGTCCTACAAAAAAGACACTACTGAGGTAAAGCACCTGGTTCTACTGGATCGTAGGGATGGGTCCGATGCATTCATTGCTACGCGTAGCAGGACCTTCCACGATTCGCTGGCTCTTGGACTCTCTTACTCACAGGTGGTTTCTAGGACACGACAGTGGAACCGCCGGTTTTGGAGGCCGCAAGTGGAGAAACATGTGACACACACCCTCCCAAATGCCCGCCAATTAAACTATACACCTTCGAAGGGCTCCAAATCGAACCCGAAGGAGTGCCTTCTCTTCTCCCCACCGTTTCTCTTCTCTCCACGTCCCACGTCCAACGACCCCGACGAAGTACCCCGAAAACCGAGGGGCAAAGTCGGCGTCCCGCGTCAAGGCCGAGAACCTGCTGCTGGGGCACCCAAGGCGAAGAGGTCACCAACATCACCAACTCCCGTTCGACTTCCGTTCGACCATGAAAAAAAAGGGGAACGACCTGGTGCTTGTAGTGAAAAAATCCTGGTCGTTGGTTCGGTGATGCCTACCAGGACCTTCCAAGAGGTGTCTATAAATAGCCTCTTAGTGGTGAGTCGGGGTGTCCAAAAACCACCGGACTTGGAAGGTCCTGGTAGTAATTGAATGGTGGGCCAGGAAGTCTACGGAACTGAAAGACTGTGGTGGAAGAGTATCACCTGGAACCGTCGGGGTGCTTCATGGACACCCCATTGACATTCTAAGGATCCGGGCTATGAAATGGACACCCGGAATCCGTGGTGCTGGCAGTATCCCTCTGATCATGCGCACAAAAAGATATCAGGAGCTCCCCCTGGCCTCTAAAGAATGTCCATTTCAACTTTTGCCATAGGCTGTTGATGGCCTCGGTCGCTTAGATTTGGCAGTAGCCCTCAACCAAGTGCCCCCTTTTGGTCACCAAGTCCCCCAAAAAGTGAATCCAAAGCATGCATGCAGGAGCCACACCATCGAAAAAGTCCATCCCTTCAAACCCCCCCCACCCAAGCAGTCGCACCACGAGGCGACATGGGCATCCTATGCACCGTTCTTCTCTCGCATGGAAAGCCTTGGAAGGCCTTCCACGGATCGCTCGCGTTCGCGCCTGGCCTGGAAGCTCCAGTGGGTGGCAGCAACAGCCCGTAGAGGGTGCCTGGGACCTTCGTCAACATCAGCCGTCCCTCTCCCTGCGCCACGGTCGTGGCGTTCTCCTGCAGGACTGGCGGGCGACGCAACGCCGGAGCGGAGAAACCGGAGAACCGGAAGTATCAAATCCAAAGTGAAGCTCCCTTCTTACAGGACCAAACTCAATGCATAATCCCAACTCCAGATTGTAATACATGTTTGCTAAAGCAAGGAGAACTCAGGTAGCTCAAGCTACCTTTCGTGACTTGATCACAAATTGGCTGGAAAGGACACCTGTTCACCGCCCGAGGAATGACTGGTCAATGAGGGGTCACAGTTGTAGCGGTGAGCACGAAAACTGCCACCGAAGCGTGGTGAACCAAGCACACCCCCTTACGTGTGCACCGTTGCAGTGGCCACCAGCCTGACGAACAGGGTTCTTGAAGAAATTTTGGAGGCAACAACTACCAACAGAGGTCAAGTTAACCTTAATTATAGGCCCCGTCATGCTGGTACTTTTTGGGAAGAGAAGGGACAACATCAAAAGGGCTTCGTTCGGCTCACCCCACGGATCTCCCTAGAACACACGTGGACCTATCCGGCCCACATTTACCGCGGGATCCTCGACTCACCCAGTCTTCCAACGAAGATCAAGCAAACCGGAGCAGTTAAGCGCAGAGCAGTTGAGCTGTGGGGTCGTCAGCCCGGTTTGCAGCCCCAAGAAACTCGATCCTGTTCCCCTCAAAACCACCGAGAGACAAGGCTCTCTGGACGGAAGAGTGTGCATCCGAAGAGTGTTCCCCTCGTCTCCTTGCCTGTGTCCAATTGCCGGTCCCACGTAAGAAAGGCCCCATAGGCCCATGATCATACTATGGCACAAGTAGAGGCAACGGCACTTGTTTCTAATAGCTTCTTGTTACGACTAGTAAGGCACTTGTTACTAGTAGCGATGCACTTGTTCCTACTAGCTTCTTGTTAACGGGGTGAGGTGCTCAAAATGCTGCGTGGTCTCACCGGAAAACCTGTGGAAGGGGTTGCTCAGCACAGCTTCTGTTGCGCCTTCTGCTGCGACCTCCCTTTACCGGTGCGGTCCGTTCTCGCGTTCTTGCGGTCGGTCCGGCAGCAAGCGTTGGCCATCCACCGTGAAGTCGAGCGTGGACGCCCTTGTGGGATCAACCAAACGGCAGTGTGCTGAATTGGTGATGCGGTAAAGCTCAGCACTTGGCTGGAATCTGTAGGCCAGCCAGTTGAGTCTATGGTGACTTTGGTGAGGACATGGTTGTAGTGGGTTGAGGGGGAGGGTCACTTTCTTTGTGGGATCTCCGATGGGGGAGATGATAGCGGGGTAAGATGACCATCCTCATCATGGCAATTTGTCGACCACAAAACAAGCTGAACATGCACAACGAGCTGATAACAAAAACGAATCAGCGACAACGGCAAGATAAACGCACCTCATTATACAATCGATAGCATCTGCCTGGTTGACTTTCTAAAATGAACCAACTGTGACTACTGGAACAATCCCATGATACATACTAATTACTGCACTCATGGCTTTGACCCATACCCCATGGGCTCTTCCACTGCATTCTGAAGAGCCAAATTCTATCAAATTCTTCTTGCTATTCTGAAGTGGAACAGGCAACACCTTCCTGAAAGAGTCCCTAACCGTGTAGTATGTTGCTGAGGGGGGGGCGTCAAACAATTTTTAGGTTACAGCTTTCTATGTATTGGTCCCGGAACCAGTCCCCCAAGACGGTGGTGACGTTTAAAGTGATGATTCTTTGATTCCTGGGTCCCATCACGGTCCCATCGGAATGCCTTGGATTCCAGCGGGTGAAAGCAAAGACCCCCCAGTCGTCAAACCGGACCCACTTCACAAAGGGCAATGACGAGGGGAATCTGAGGTCGAGTGTACCTCCAGCTGTGCCTCAATGAATCTGATGATGTTGCACCGCTTTTGGAAGCTCAGTCTACCCTTTCAAGATGAAACGAACAATTCTCCCAAACCCTCAGCGCAGGCCACCTGGGATTCAAAGTGCCGCCTTCCATCACCGCGGCATGCAGCTGGTTGCCTGAAAACGGGTCTTCCAAACTTCTTGGGGCCAAAGCAAATGCAACTGAACACCAAAGGGAAAAAGACCAAGAGAGGTAGCCAGTAACCTTATAGGACCCGTCACCTGGGGTACCCTGGCCTGGGATAGTCGATACTGTTGGGTCATTCAAGCTCTGTTGGGAATGCCATGATGCCGTTGGAAGCTCGACGTCCAATTCAATGGATGCTGGAAAGACGATATGAAACTTCACCCCTTGACCCACCTCTACACCTCTGTGGTGAGGCTCTTCTACGTGGGGAGTGCTCCAAATTTGATCGGCTCACACGGCGGGATTGAGGCGGAGGTGGGTACGGGTATCACTAACCTTGCAACAAGAGCACTAGAAGAGAAACTGGTAGACCACCCCCGGCAGGAGGAAACTCCTCTTCCCACCCTTGTCTCTAGTCACTAGAAATTCAGCCATGCCAAAGTTGGATAGAGGGTACACCGCGTAGAACCCCTGATTCTGCACAGAAGAGCTGACTTGGAGACGATCAACTATCAACACCTCCCTGACCCTCAGGAATGTTTGGTGGGTCCACCCGTCGATTCATGTAGCATCTGTGAAAGCAGCAAACCGGCCTCAAGCGGACTCAACGACATTGCCAAGAGAGGTTGAGAGACCTTATAGGACCCCATGGCCCATAGTGGTGCGTATGGGATGGGCTATAAGGCTGTTCAACCTCTCTTGGTGGACTTGCCTTTTTGCATTTCAACTTACCTCCACCTTTCACGGAACACCTCTCTTTGCTTGCCATCAGCCCATCACCCACCCCCCCAACATCAGCCCTGGCTGCCCGCCCTGGCGAACTCCGGCCACGTGCCTTCAGAGACCAGGCTGTTGATCTCAACAGAGGCCGCTTGCCAGAGGTTCGCCACGAGGGTCGGCCAGGAACAATCCTGGCGAGCGAGCGATTTCCGCGATCGAGCTCGCGTCCGAGTAGGTCCGCCGAGACGGTGCAAGCGCGACAAGGGTACGGCGCAAGCGAGCCAGGATCGGAGGGGGTTGGTTGGTTGACATGGGTGGTTGTGTGGAGCCAGAAATGAAAGGAATCGTTTGGGATGATCGGTCGAGGGCGCAAAGGAGACATTACGACATTAAGACAGGTTCAGGTACTCTGAGGATCGGTTCCATTCCTTGTCGGGATTGGTTCTGTGACTCAGGATGTGTCAGGATGGAACCTCGGTTTCGTTCAGTTCGGTCAGGTGAAGGTGGAACCAGTGTGGAGGAGTTGAAGTGAGGAGAGGCTTTGGTTACAAGACCCTGGTGACCCTCTCATCAAGATCCAGGTGATTGGGAAGAATCTTCCTCGTCACGTCCCATCCCATCGGTCTCTGGTCGGTGGCGTAGGTCGTTTCGTGGGGGAAAGCGCGAAAGCGCTTGGGCGACCGAAGTACCAGGCAACATCATACAGGTGGTTTCAGAGTAGAAATCCGGGCACTCCAGCCGACCGCGAAAGGAGGGAAGGTGTTGGTATGATGTTCTTCGGCTCAAAGGGCCCCAACCAAAAGCGTCTCGTTCTCGAGACGAGACCCGCGCGGTGCTTCGTCCCCGCCCCGTGGAAGCGCGCGCGCCTCGCTACTGTTGCTCAGGTCCTCCAAAGCGCCAAGGCACCCGGAGGGGTTCTTGAATGAGGCGAGGTGGCCACTCACAGTCACTAATAGACCCTTGTTGATAGAGCATCGCTTCATATTAAAAGACGATGAAGGTAATTACAAACAAAAGCCTTCAGGAAACCAACAAGCGCAGTTTGGGATTTCAAAATGCCCCTGGAAGATGGTTTTCCTCTACCAGCCAGTGATTTTCAGGGTCCATGTCAGTCTTCCAGGGTGTAGGTTATAGCCCCCCATCCATGGGGCCGTGCTGCCGGTGCCCAAACCTGTGGACCCTCGTCGGGTGACACAGCTGTGTAGTCTGATCGGAACAGGATTCCAAAGCAGCTAACCTGCACCCCAACAGGGCCCCCCCCCTCCCTCAAGCTGCTTCTGCACACCTAACCGGCTCATCTAGCTGTTTGGTCCGTCGTGCGTTGAGGCTCTTAGGCCGCTGTCCGTCGTGCGCCGGCCAAGAGTCTCACCCCAACAGCCCCTTCGAGGTTTCAGAGAACGGGGTACGTCGGGTACGTCGGGTACGTCGGGTACGTGTCAGTTCGACACACTTGATGAAAGAAAATGGGTTGACCATGGTGGACCTGCGCTCTTGTGGTGGTTTTCAATCCGGAAAAGCCCATGGTTCTTCGGGATTCGAAACCGCTCAACATCTCCTGGGGTGATTGACACCACATACCCCCAGCACCATACCCACTACGTCGGCACCTACCCGGCCCCGTCCACACTCGCCACGTATCGTCCCCCCCCCCCGGCAGGGGAAACCGCACACGCGTTCGCGTTCGCCACGCCGACCCGCGCGTGGTTGGATCCTCCGCGGTCTCGTTCTCGCAGAGGTTGGCTGGCAGCTCCACCAGGTGCAGAGCCGCTGGCTGCGATCCATCTGGTCGACGACGACCGTGGCGGTACGCTCCAGGCGGCACGGCTGTCGGACCCGGGACCAGGCGGCATCGGCGGTCCCGAGTGGCGGGGGTGCTGGGAAGGTCTGTGGAAGGGAGAGGAAAGTGAAAAGCCACCTGAGACCGAGTCGGACTACCAACAGAGGTGACCTGAACTAGGACCCGTCACCTGGGGCACCTATAGGATAGCCTATAGGGTTCTTCAACCTCTGCTGGTACTTCTGAGGAAGCTCACTCACTTCTCTGTGGGCCGCTTAGCATTTCTCAGAGTCCCTGTACCACACCGCCCGGCCCATCGTCACACCGCCATCACCCCGTGCACCGCATCTTCGAACCCTGAAACCCCCAAATCACAGCATCATGATTTGAGTCTTCTTAGATCACAAGCAAGATACATCCAAGATCATGGTGGAACTTAGATACATCCAAGATCATGCTCTAAGAACACTCCAACAGTTACATCCAAGATCATCCAAGCGACCTCGCAAGCAAGGTCACCCCCCCATCATCTTGCGCATGTGCGCAGCCCAAGAAATCGGTCACCGGTGTGGGACCGGCCGAATGCTGTTTCGTAGCAATGGGCGTTCCTCGGGTTGAAACCGGGATGAGGTTCATCCCAAGTTGCACCTGAAAGCGAGAAGAAAGACATGGTGGCCTCTGCCAACGAGTTCTGACGAAAAGAGTGATTCAAAGAGAAGGATGAAGTGAAGAGTGATTCCTTCCATGCAGTCCCTGGGCACACCGATGGCCATCTGAAGCGAAACCAAGTCATTCCGCAAGCCCAACTGTGCAAGCAGCTTAAGCATGATCTTCTCTCCAACACTGCACAAATCCCTACCAAATTGGACTGGAATCCCACCAACCTCCAGGCCAGCCACCCTGCCACTTGTTGAAACCACTTAGCCCATTGGCCCCGCATCCTCCATCCTCCCACCTTCTCCGGTGGCCGCCACCACACCGCTCGCCACTGGCGCCAGCGCCGTGATGCCCGCACCGCCCAGCGTCACTGTGAGGCGGGCGGGCAGGACCAAGAGCTGCGGGCTGGCTGCGTCGGTGCCTGGAGGGCGGAGGCATCCCGGAGGGAGGGGGTTATACAGAGCTCCATCCGATTTCGGAGCAGATACGAAGTAGAAGATACCCCTCTGGAAGTCCAAGACCCTTTGAAGAGAATCTTTAGGTCACCCAAATGTTCAAGTTCCTTGTTGATCTTGTTGTATTTGGCTGGTCACCTATCTCGGACGTGGATGGCCCGAATGGACCGAGTGCGGTGAACTCCTCCTCAACGGGGACCGGTCCGAACCGGCAGGGGCTTTCAACTATGCCGTCTCCGAAGACCGTGACTCAGGAAGAAAAGAAAACCTCACAGCATGGCCAAACTTTGAAGCAGAGAAAAAGAAACTCCACTATAGTTTGGCACTTCTCTCTCTTCTCTCTCTCTCTCTCTCTCTCTCTCTCTCTTCTCTCTCTGGGTCCTTCGTACCTGGACCTCCAATGGGTCTATCCCACTCTTTCCAACAAATCCTGCCGGCAAGAGTCGACCAGCTGTCCCGAAGCACTCGAAGCACCCACTCTTCCCAACCGGCTGGGGCCAAAGCTCCTATCCCCCACTCCAAGGGACGAGTGTCTACTTTAAGGCCATCCAAATCTGCGTCTCTCGGAGTGCAAATCTGGGAGAACAAAGATCCAAACCTGGGAGTCCGGTCTCCGAAAAGATGGGCCTGGAATCCCTTCTTCTTCTGCTGTTCTCCGCCTCTGCCCGACCCATGTTCCTTCGGCTTCTCTCCCCCCCGTGGCCTAGAATCGCCATCGGAACAGTCCTCGACGTCCGGCTCGACCGTCCAGCCCGTCGTCGGTCGCACGACCGAACCCACCCCCTCCCCACCGAAGACCAGACCTGTCGTCCGGACGGAAGTCCAATGGTGGTGAATGCAGAGACCCCCCAACAAAACACCTCCTTTTGGGGGGGGCGCCTCTGGCATGATCGCCGCATAGCCGAAGCACGAAGGGTTTCATGGGGCGGACCCGCGCCTCGATCGGACACCGCCTCGATCGGGGCACCGTGGCACCGTGTGAAACGCCCTAAACCAAGGTGTGTTTTAGGCCGCCGGCCCAGGTCTGTAGTTTTGCTTCGGCAACAGGTCTGCAAAAATACCGAATCCCCTCATGGGCATGCTCCATCTGCTTGGGGGTCTGAGGGCCAGCTGCTCTGGCTGCAAAAAACTGTTGGTTTGTCAATTGCAAAATAAGGAATATGTTTGAACGGTGCATAATGTGTGACCATCCAAAGGTCCGGATTTACATACCAACAGAAGTTAAAGGACCTTATAGACTATCCCATAGGTACCCCACAATGGTTCTATAAGGTCACTTAACCTCTCTTGGTATGTTTCATTAGCATCTGCTTGGGCTCGCAGCCCGGAGCTTGTGGTCGAACGGTCGTCGAAAGGGTTTCCACACGGTGCCCGGGTTGGATCGGTCGAAGCCGTCGATCAGTGAAGAAACCCGTCGAACCCTGCGCCGACTGAAGCGGATCACGTGAGCACGGTCGTGTTCGCAACAAACGTGTGGAGTCTGTCCATGGTCACCATCCCTAAGAATCAAGGACCCTCAAAGGTGAAGGTTTTGAGTGTCCAAACCCCTGCTATGCAGGGTCCAAACCCTCCATAGGAGGGTCCAATGATTCTTAGGGATGGTCCATTTCTGTGTGTTCTTTCGCGTGTCGCGACCAGCCCGAAACCACCAGTCTCCTGCTACTGGCCGCCACACGTGGAATGCCCTGCTGCGGAGTCAGTGGCCACAAACTCACGGGGGCTGTGGCCAGAGATGCTGTGGCCAAAGAAACCTCCAAGCGCCGAGCCAGATTGGGTTTGGGAAGCTGGGAGGACTGGGAGGACACCTCGGGGGGAAATTGGAAGACCTGGCCAGAGACCTGGTTGACCTGGGGATGTTCTTTGGGAAGCTGGAGATGTGAAACACCTCTCCAGGGCCGGATCTTGGGTGGATCTTGGGGACCACTCGAGTCAACACTGAAACGCAGGCCAGTGTTGACTCTGTCCCGAAAGAATCCCTCTCATTCATCAAACATGTCATGCGTTCGTGTCATGTTTCGGGGAAAAACACATGACAAAAAAAACGATCGTTGTGCGGCGAATTCGGTGGATGCTGACTTCCGCGCACCAATCAGACACTTATACCCGGTCTTGACTCTTACAGAAAGAACCCTATAGTTAGAGTCAAGACCCAAGGGACCGATCAGACACTTACACCCTAAACGGTGTGATTACAAGTCCCTTGTAGAGGAAAGCAGTGTCATCTTCCTCCATACCCGACGCAAGTCCCCCGGGGTCCTGGCGGCGCGGGGCGACTGAGACTGCGTCCGCTGTGTAGTGTCAAGAGTGCATGGCATGGCCCCACGAGGATGACCAGTTTCCATCTAACCTGGTGGTGTCTCACTCCACGTCCATTCCAGGGAGTGTCATCTTCCGTATTCGGAGTGGCCCTCTGAAGAAACACGAAGAACTCATGGGTCGCAGCCCATGGATGTGTGGGACATGATGGGGAGATGTGGGGAAGCCACACGGAGCGCTGGCGAGGGGATGTTGAAACCCGAGGGGACCTCTCAAAACGGGCCTTTTCTCATCCTGTCTTCCATCCCAAAACGCTTGTTTGGCGTACGCATTTGACCTGTTGTCTTCTGTGTGTCGGAGTTCCCGGTACATGATCATTGAATATCTACTGTAAGAATCTCTTTGATCTCTTTGCCAGCTTCCAATCCTCGACACCCAAACACCTCGAATCAAGTCCCTCGAACACCTCGACAAACCACCACTGACACCGTAGGGGCCTCAACCACTGCAGGGGCATCCGTTCCCAACACCAAGACTTCGCCATATTCCGTGATGACCTCAGCTCTGTCACGGCTTTTTGTTGGGCGGCTAATTAAGTTTCAAAATGATGGATGATCGTCCTATATAGCTCATTCATCATTGAATCACTCCCAAACTCCCAAACACAACTTTCTCTGGAAGTTTAGAACATGTCTTCCAGAATAGCAGTAAAAGTCAAAATAGTAGAAATGCTTTTTGCCAGCCCAAGCCCAGGAAGGGACCTGCTCCTGAGCCTTTTGGTCTTTATGAATTATGTGTCTTTGCCCTTCTGTCCGAGTGGGCATGCTTTTCTGAGCAACATCCCTCAACCATTTAACTCTATTTTGGCTCTCTTGGTGAGACAGAATCCGTGCTGGGCTGCATGGTAGGTCTATCCAGGGAACTAGAATGGGACTCATCCAGGGAATTTCAGACCCACAGGCTGCCCACGTGTCCATCACCCAGCACCTCCCGGGAAACACGGTGTATCCCATGGGGGCCATGTAACATGTATTTAAACAAGGGGATCCCTCAACTATGGATGCCGGTCGAGTGTCCTTCCAGTAGGTCTTTTTTCTGGGAGCGCTCTCATACAACACGCTCGTTGCGTAGACTCTTGATTACAGTATATCTACAACCCTCCATGCGAAGAGGTGTTCCATCCATGCCAGGGGGGTTATATATTGGTTCACTGAAAAATTTCCCAGGGATAGATCTGCAGGGTATTAGATCCGCAGGGTTTTTTGATAATAAAAAAAATCAAAAAAGATATTAAAAAAATACAATTAAGCAACAAACATGTGGAAAAAATACCAAAAGACATATTCAATCAACATAAAATACAAAATGTGCAAAAACAAAGGCGTTGCCCAACACAAATATGAACTGTAAGATTGTTGAAAATGTATTCCAATCTTCTAGAATGTTCTTCAAGTGGCTTGTGAAGCGTTCATTGAATTTGGAGAAAACATAATTTAAATTCTGTCAGGTGTTGTCAGAACCGTCATGTGTCATACAATGGTTTGATTGAAGTGCTTGTTCCCAACCTCTCAAATAATTGTGTTTCCTGTTGAAGTGAACTTTAATATAACCGGTTTGTGGTGTGAGTGAACTCCTATCCTACTGGCAACAACTATTAATTCAATAAGTTAAGATCATCATCTCAGGATGCTGTGGCAAACAAGAACCCTGAAAACTACTTTGGCCAGCTTGATTTAGTGGCTTGGGTTTGGAGAACAAGGACCCAGAGAGAGCATTGTTCAAATCAACAGTGTGACTACCTGGGTTGATTGGTATTGAGGCTGGTGGCATGGGCATACTGATTGAGAGTCTACCAGCACCTTCATTACGGGGTCACCTGGCCTATCCGGGATCTCCAGACAGGACCCCCACATGAAGGTCCAACGTATAAGAGTCTACACATTGCACCTTGCTCCAAGGCACAGTCACTTGGCCCCAGGATGCCGGCAGGTCCAAGTAGTCCCGGCTTCTCAGCGTCGCGATGTCCAACCTGGCCGGTTCCGCCGACCGATAGCTCACGCTGGGCGCTGGGCGCTGGGCGGCCAAAGAGGCGAAGCGTCCGACCGCTCCGTTCGAGTCGCGATGCCCCTTGGCTCCGTTGGAGTCGCGTAGTGTCCTCATGTGGTGAAGATCGTGTGGATGTTCACTGCCCGGTGCGGAGGTCCAAGTGACTTGAGCTTGGTACGTTGGCATGCAACAGCCACTTACAGCCGCTACCCAAGAAGGAAAAACGTCCGCTCAAATAACCTAAAGCAGGTTATAAGCTATAAGCCCATATCAGGTTATGACCTAGCAGCCTAGTTGATGGACCCTATGCATCCCTATGCTTCAAGAGGCCTGATGGAATTGGCTCTATTAGAACGGGTGCGAAGGACGACCAAAAGACACAGAGAGAGGAGTCGAGCACAGCTCCTCGCTGCGTTTTTCCTCTCCCTTCGATTCGGCGCAGTCTCGGCGCAGACTCTTCCTCTCACATACGAGCAGAGGTTGAAGAACCCTATAGATACCCCCACTGACGGGTCCGTCACTTAACCTCTGTTGGTAAAGCCCTAACGATGTTCGACGTCCATTCCCTTCGGGACGGCCACGTCATTCCCCTCTCTTCCGGCCCGAACGCCACAGCACCCGGTGCTCTCCCAACCAAGGACCCCTCCCTCCCCAGCCTGAAGAGCAGCCGGTCACCGGCTACCCAGATGGAACCGCCGCTGCCCAGCGCCGTCAGCTGGTTGATCTCGAACCTCATCGATCTTCGGGTGTGGGTCCCCCCCCCCCCCCCCCCCCCCGCCGACGGGTTCCGCGCCGTTTCTCCGTGGCTCCTCTCCTCTGCACCGGACTTACCCAAAACACCTCGGAGGAACCTCACGAGGGGTCCACTGCTGAACGGGAACCTCTCCGGTCCTCTTTTTCCCTCTCCATCCAGGCGGCAGAGGGATCTGGTTGGGGTCCGTGAACGAGGAGAACTGCACGAAGACGAAGCCTCTGCGGGTCGGAAACCGAAACCGAGGCGGTTCAGCCGGAGCCCAAGAGGTGGGTGCAAGTCACACCCGAAGCCCAGGTGGGTCACCCTGGTAGGCACGTCGTGTGATACCCCCCAAAAATGGGGTCATTTGCTTGCAAGAGAAACGATGGCGGTCACCGTGATAGATCATCCAGAGGCGCCGTCTGACCGAAGGGCTTGGAAAAGCTGAAGAAGTCCACCAAACAGCTTAGACACCCCAAATCACGACCACTCCCAAAGCCCACATCCAAAGAAGATCAAACTTCGGACCTCGTTCAGTGCCCAGCTCTCTGCTGCAACATCCGTCCACCTCTCACATCCCACGCTCCCTCGCTCCCTCCCTCCCCCCACCTAAGAGCTGCATGTCCGAGAGCCGCACGCGCCACAGCCGCGCCGGCAACGGGCCTTCGCCTTGTTGCCCTGAAGCGGAGCGCTGAGGTCCGAGAGTCTGACGAGTTCGAGGTGACATCCCATCAGGACATCGATGTCCTCATCTTCCTCATCTGGAAACCCTTCAGCATCTGGACACCTGGGGAAGAGAGGTCAGGAAACCATGTTCGTGTTCGTGTCGTCGCGGTCGCGCAGAGCGCGAAGGAACTCGCCAACGTGGGCTCCTAACACTGACTGGCTCTGGTTACCATGAAACACTAACACTCCACTCTCCCTGTAGGTATCAGTGGAAGTGGAGTTGAAACCACCTGCTTGGTATTCGGAAAATAGTTTTACTTTCAGGGCCATGCGGTCCCTTGCCATGTCAGTTCAGGGGAGTGTAAACCCCTTTTACCACCGAAACCACCAGAAACCTGTGGTGAATCACATGGAAAATGTCACCACCTCCAGCAAAAGTGTTCCCCCCCGATTCGATAATCGTGGCAGTCTGCAACACACTTCCCGAATCGAATCATCATGGGCCATGGCCGTGGATGGCAGGCAGTTCACCCCTGAGTTCCACTCGGAGGAGCCGAAGAAATCCAAATGCCACTGCAGGTGGTTTTCACTCCACTTCCCATGTGAGTGAGTCGGAGGGTCATTTACCCTGTGGATCTTCATCCAGCTCCGTGAGGATCTTCGTCGAGTTTCTGGGGAGCCCAGCGATGCGGTTCCCTCGTCCATGATTGTTTCTTTCGCACTCCCGGCTCCCACCTACCAAGAGTTCGTAGTGGTCGTTGCCATAGATGGCCTGGCGACGGCAAACCACTTCGCGGCGCTTCGGCGGCGGCTGGTTTGGGGAAAATGCCCCCATCACACCCGGGCCATCAGTTGAAAACATGTCCCTCACATTCCCTCACGTGTTTTCTATGTTTGCACCCTTCTTGCTTCGCGCCTATAGGATGGGGAGGAATCAGAATTCCTTCGTCCGGGTCACTTGGGTCAGCACCCCCGTCACAGTTTCAGAGAACCTCCGAAGGATGTCGGTCGAAGGAGGTCGAAGGACCCCCATCTTTTCGGGCTGCTGAAAGCGAAGCAAACACCAACAGAGGTTGAAGGACCTTATAGACTATCCCATAGGTACCCCAGTCAGGTCCTATAAGGTCACTTAACCTCTGTTGACAGCTTCGGATTTGGCAAAGAGTCGGAGGACCTTCTTCCGCTTCTTCGCGAAAGCCCAATGTGGATCACCCTCACCGAAAGCATGGAGAAAACCACGAGGGGCCTCACCGAGTTGAAGGTCACAAGACCAGTTTGTTCTCCCACTGCGGGAAGGGGCCTCACAGACCTTCCCTGCACACATCTCCAAGTGCTCGTTCGCCCGCCCTGCTTTAAAAAATGTTCTATTGTGGGTGATGCCGGAGGCACTTTTGAAGTATCAAGACTGTTCTGGTTTTTTATAGTTATATATATATTATATATATATACTGTCAAAAAGAGTTGAAGATATTGAACATTCCCCAAACATGACGAAAACACCTGCCACAATCCAAGAGCCCCCCTGCATCTCAGCATTTTATTGCTCAGCGCCCCCCCACCCCGGACACCGCACACCGAAGCCGCATGGTGGCGTGGTTTTTGCCTCCAAGGGCCCTTTCAACGCCAGCTGCGCGGCCGGCGGCAGCAGCACGCTGGAAGCCATGGCACTGGCTACAGAGGTCACCTGGAGCGTGCTGGGGGGAGCGAAGGAGCACGGAGAAGGGTTCCGTTATTCGGACACAAGGGCGCCTAGGACCATGCGAGGGTTCACTTGTTTGGACTACTTGGCACTGTGGCACTATAGTAACATGGATGTTCGCCGAACAAGTTTGGGGACGGCGTTCGCGTTCTTAAATGAAACCCACCAGCCAAACCATCAAGCCTCCGATGTCACCCCCAAAGCCCATCTGGGTCAACCCAGGACATCAAACCACGCTCTTCGTCATCCAGGCCTTCAACTGCATCACCCGATGATTGCCCCCATCCACCACGAAGACGTGGTCCGTTCCTCCGGCAGCTACCGCATCGCAGGAGGCCAACCCTGCACGGTCCACTTGCGCTAGCTCACTGCCAAAGCCTCAGGCACCGAAGGACGGCACGCGGCGGGCGAGTCCCTTCTTGGCCATCTTGGTCACGTTATCCCGAAGCTCGCAGTTGACGTGCGGCCAGGGACACTGCCAGCCGAAGCTCGCGGTTGAGGTCCGGCCGGGAACACTGCCAGCCGCAGCTCGCAGTTGAGGTCTGGCGGCGGAGCTGGCGGTTGAAGCCCGGCGCGGAAGGGAGCTGGCGGTTGAGGTCCGGCAGGGAACACTGCCATCCTTCACTTGCGGTTGAGGTCTGGACACCCCCTAAAAAGTTTGGCGGCTGGCCTCGTGGAGGACTTTGATGTAGTTTGGGAGGGTCACGCCGCCATTGTATGGGGTGGGGGAGTCCGCCTTGCATGACATTTCACAAAATTTGCGACGTGTATGTCAAAAGGAATGTATGTTGACATTCCAGCGAGGAACATCTGGCACCTCGCCGGGTCAATTGGCTCGCTGCCGGACCGCGCCTCGACAAGGAATTCGAATTACAACCCTCCAGGATCTGGAGCAGCATGCTCATGTCACTGAGTGGCCGCTAGTGCCTCCAAGTCCTGCACTGCCCGACGCAGCGCCTGGAGATGTGGGCTAACGCCAACTCTTCCCATTTCTCCTTCACACGGAGCTACGCGTGCCTGAGCAAACTTAACCAAAAGGATTTGCCACAACTGACACACGGCCAAGGGCGTGACGCAACGTCTCCGCGGTTGCGGCGGCGAGCGTCGAAGTCGGTGATGCCGACAGCCAGCCAGCTGCCACACCCAAAGCCTGCAAGCGCACGGGAATGAAGAGGGTGGTTATGTTGGTGGGTTTGGTTCGCATCGCCCTGTTTACACTCAGTTTGAGCCCCCCACGAAGCTCAAATCCGTTCAGGTGCGCAGCCGGGTTTGGCTTCGCAACCTGTTCGGCAAAAGCGCCTTGCTCTTCAAGAGCAGCTTGGGCTGATGCCTTGCCAAGGCACGGCCAACAGATTCCCGGAGACTCCCAGAATTGGGTCCGCAGAGCCATGGCCACCTACCCGTTTGGCATCTTCACGTGGCCGGGCACGATTGCGTGTCGTTATGGGAGAGGTAGTCATTGTGTCATTGGCTACAGCAACTCCACGCCTCAAGTTGGGGGCACGAAAAGGGGCTGCAAAAGGCTTGAAAGAGGGCGTTCCCACAGCCACACGGCGTGGCTCAGACACCACCACCAGGATACGACGTTCGAAGCCCCATGGTAGGTGGGGCCTGGCCCGCTTCAATAAAACACTCTGCGAACCCTGTTTTCTGCACACGCCCGAACAAGTTTGGCTACCCTCGCGGAGGGCTTTTACGTGGTCCTCCTCCAGGGTCATGCTGCCATTGTTCGGGGGCCGGGCTATCAAACAGAAAATTGATATATATCAAAAAGAAAATTTCTATATCCTATCAAAAAGAAAATTAATTTGTATCAAAAACAAAATATCTCTCACAAAGAGCTGCGCCTGCCACTGCAAACCGCCTTGGCAGCGCTGCACGATGTGAATCTGGACGCGCAGATTTCGTGGCGCGCGCAGCACTTTGAGCATCTCCAGTGGCAGATTTCGTGGCGGGAGCGGCACTTTGTGCACTGGAACTGCAGAAATCGTGGCCTGCGCAGCACTTTGATCACCTCTAGTAGCAGATTTCGTGGCAAGAGCGGCATTTTGTGCACTGGAACTGCAGATTTCGTGGTAGGCGCAGCACTTTGAGCACCTCCAGTAGCAGGTTTCGTGGCAGGAGCGGCACTTTGCGCATTGGAAGTGCAGATTTCGTGGCAGGCACAGCACTTTGAGCACCTCCATGTAGCAGGTTTCGTGGCAGGAGCGGCACTTTGCACGCAGCACTTTGAGCACCTTCAGGTGCAGGGCTCGTGGCAGGCGCAGCACTTTGTGCACCGGAACTGCAGATTTCATGGCAGGCGCAGCGCTTCGTGAACCTCGAAGTGCAGATTGCGTGAACCTCCGTCTATCAGCGCAGACTTCGTGGCAAGTGCAGCGATTGCGAACCTTGTAGTGCAGTTTGCGTGGCGTTTGTAAAATTCTGTGGATCTGAAGACCTGTGAAAAGAGCTCTTGATATCTCTGGATCTGAACATCTTTCTACACCCTCTGCAAGTATAGAACTTAGATTTCAACACCTCCGTGGATCTCAAGACTCAAGACCTCTAAGCCTCCATCTTTAGGTATGTGGGTTTCTAGGCCTCTACACCTGCAGATCCGTCTGGATCTCCAGGCCTCTGGATCTTTGTAGATATAGACCTCTCTGCATCTCAACCGTGATCTGTCTGAATTTCACGATGGCTCACAAAACCACAAGACCTGTGGATGGCTCACAAAAGGTCTGCTATGTTGGAATGGCACCTTCCTCCTCTAAAGTTTATGCTGACAACAGGTCTGCTCCTGTAAATTTTGCCCTCGCATGGCTCACAAAAGGTCTACTGCTCTTCTAAATTTTGCTCACAAAGGTCTGCTACCTTGGCGTGGCACCTAAAGTTTAACCCCGGGTGGCTCACAAAAGGTCTGCTAGTTGGAATAGCAAGTTCTACCCTCGGGTTGCTCACAAAACAAAGGCCTGCTACGTTGGAATGGCAACTTCTTCCTCTAAGTTTTGACCTCGCAAGGCTAACAAAAGGTCTGCAACGTTGGAATGGCTCCTTCCTCTTCAAAATGTTGCCCTCAGGTGGCTCACAAAAGGTTTGCTACCTTGGAATGGCACTTTCTTCGTCCAAATTTTACCTTCAGGGTGGCTCACAAAAAA